CCATTTTTTCACTATAAAGTTGAACTGTTGGTTTATTTAACACCTCATCTTAATCCCAAAATAACATTGGTTTGCGTTTGTTTTTCTTTGGGGGCAGGTAGCTCTTAGTTTTTATTTTTTATTTTTGTTTTTAATAATAATTGTATATACTTAAGGTATAGATATGCATAGTAAAAGGATTGCTACCATCTCATCTCCTCAGATATCTACCTTGTGTTGTGTGTGCGCGTGTGTGTGTGTGGAGAGGGGGTGGTCACTGATACTTGAAAACTGGCTCTCTAGGAGGGGTCAAATCAGGTCACCTATCGTGTGACCTGCCCTCATCTCCTCAGGGCAACTGCATTTCAATGTGGACCAAAGGCTGAAGTCACAGAAATGAGGCATCGATCATAGGATCTCAGATCCTATAGATCTCAGATCATAGAATCTCAGAAAATTCTTAGTTTTGGGGGAAGCTTAGGGGACAGGACAGGGGTGACCTCCCTGGAGCCTCTGAATGTAAAATGTGTAGTCTGTCTTTCTCATGGCTGAAATCTCAAGTCCTTGTTACAGATTGTCCTGGAATCCTAGAGTCTGGTTTGATCAGTTTATCAACTCTAGCATGATAGAGGCAGATACGCAGGGAGGACTTGCATCAGCTGAACTGGGTTATTTCTTTAATGAAAAACTAAATTCCAGGTTACTTACAACTGCTGCCTTGCTGAGGGAGTTGTAGTAGGTATTTTTATTTTTATTTTTAATACTTGGGAAGATGTTTCAAGCAATAATATATTAGGTGTGCAATACTTTGGTCAGGTAGTGCGTGCTGGCGTTGGCCGGGGTAAGGATGGTTACAGCAGACTGCCTTTAGTTATCAAGCCGAGACAGATGTGCCTCTCAACCGGCCCCTTCTGACCAGATGGTTAATTTACTGTTTGAGCTGGAGTTCAACCTCAGCAGGAGTGGAACTGGATTTCACAGGGTTCCCCTCGTCCAAACTAAAGCACGCTTACCGCTTTCTCTCCGTATTCCCCAAATCTCAGCCTCCAGGACCGGTTACTGGCAAGTCGTTTTACCAATTTTCATTGGTCTGGCCACATGAGGAACATCCTGTTTCTTTAAATCCCCAATGTTCAAATTATTATGTAGAACCAACTCCCTATCAATTTTCTCCACATTTAATCCTCAGCTTCTTGTCATATTTTCATTTTTCTGCATTGGTTCCCATGGTAACAAGTCTGTTGGCAGAGCAAGTGTGACTCTGCTTTTAGCCTTCGGCACATTACGAAACCCTTCTAGTGATCCTCAAGTATCATTATAAAAGGGCAGGAAGAGACTAATTTGTTAGCTAATGTCTTTCATCTCTTTCCCTACCACTGCATTTACCCCCATCCCCAAACTAGCCGCGCTAACCCAAAAGACGGCTTTCAAGGATACTGTCCAGAATCCCTTCACCTATTGATAAAACCTTTCAAACGAACTTCCTATCCACCTACAGATGGAAGGACTGAATGTTTTGGTTTAGAATTCCTCTTCTAGGTGTCAGTGATTTCACTGACATGAACGCATATTCAGTGCAATGCCCCAGCTGACAATGGCCAGTTGGGGGCAGCCTAGAGCAGCAATTTACACTCATTTCTCTATAAAATAGCCCCCGATTGTATCTTAGATGTAATACAGTCTAGGGCGTATTCATGCCCTGAATTGAGCCTTAAAGACAGTGGAGACATTTGAACACATCTTCTCCCAATCAATAGTTAAGTGGCACAGGAGGCAAAGCCAAAGAGTCATCACAGAGAACCGAGCTCCTGAAGATGAGGAAAACTTATTCAAACAATGTAGAGAAGAGGACATTGCAGCTGGTGGTTGGGTGGGAGCAAGGAAGATTCACCCATTTGGGAGAATTCAGGATCCAACTATGGAAAAGGTAAGAAGCCCACTGAAAGCTGAGGAAACTGCACAGAGAAAGAGGAGTTTTTGAGAGAACTGTTTGAAGAAAGGGAGCCTGCAAATGAAAGGACAGCTTCACGCAGACTTTGGCCCGACTCTCTAACACGTTTTTCCCAGTAATGATTTCCTTAAGGGTTTTGTGGCCTGGCATTAAGTTATATGCCTAACAACCCCAAGTCTCCTACAACCTCAATACTCAGAAAAAGTAGGAACCGTTCATCAGAAAGTAAACAGTCCTCATATTCAAATGCGCTTTTATTTTCTGCAAAGGTTAATGAATTCGGGGGAATGAAAATAGTTGTTAGACATAAAATGTGGGTATCTCAGTTATAGTTAAGAAAATGATCAAAGGTAAATTATTCCTTTTTGTTGGGTCTTATAAAGTATGTGATACTTAAGCACACTGAAGTTTTAATTAGCTAATTATATTGTACAAAGATATTTTTTGGCCCTTTAAAGGTTATTTTCCTACATTAAGAAATTTTTTCTTATATGAAAAACTTTATTGTGACTCAGGTTTTGTCTCTGTAGAGACGTGCGTACACAGCTGTTTCCCTTTGTGCACTTATTTTGCACAGGTGATGAGGTTAAATAATGCCCAGGTATGCAGGTCAGCTGATCTTTATAAGAGCTGAAGAAGAGCATTTGATGGACAAAAGAAATCACATTATATTTTTTTGCATCTTTCCATCCCTCTTCTCCTTCCTCAGCACTCTGCTGAAGAACATCTATTTAGTCAGGAAAACTTAAGTAATATTTTTCAGAAAGTCTTTAGGAAAACCAAGATGAAACTCTCAGGCAGATAGAACATAAAGCTGTTCTCCTATTTGTTAGAATGATCATTTATTTTCACAGTGTGGTGCTGAAATAGATTTATTTTTAATATTTTGAGTCTTTCCACTCAGAGAAGCCTTATTGGCCTGGAATGTATAAAAGGCATCTGTTCAGGGCAGTAAGGAATGTCGTATGCTAAATTTTACTCCAGGATTTCTAATTTTAGCTTTGATGAGGAACGTTGTCAATGGAATGTAAGAGATGTTTTAATACTGCTGTATGATGTTTAGGCATTTCCCTTCAACATCCTCAACTACATTTTCCTCCTTGAAAATGCAAGCCTTACTATTTTGTTTGGAATGAAGAGAAAGGTAACTGATAGATAAACCTGATATCTTTGTCCCAAGAGCCAACCAAGTTTCTCCTTGTATTCAATGTATAGAGGACCTAAAGGAAGCTTACAATGACACTGTCTTCATATGGAAGTAGAATTTCTTTCCTAGTTATCAGAGGTAAATCTATTTAATTCTACCTGTAAACGTCAAAGGCCATCTCAAAAAACCTTGCAGAAGTGAGATTTGCAAGTACTGTAGTTTCATTTTCCCCATTTTATAGCCACCCAAGGGCACCCCCAGCACACAAACGTAGGTAAGTAAACCATAAGGTGAGCTATGGTCTCTTTCTGTTCAGAGACAAAATGTTAAATTAACAGCAGCAGTTCTAAACAGAGATTGACTTTTAATTGGTTTGTAAAGAATAAGTAAAAGGGTTTTATGGTTTTAGTAGCCACACAAAATACTCTCTCTTTCCCATACTATTTGACAATTACTTTTGACCTCAGTTATTTGGGGGCATAATCCTTTTATTACTAATATAAATAAGTTCTAACTCCACATATTTCTTTAATATTTTTCTAAATGCTAAGAACATGTACATACACATTTTCATTTGAGGTCATATAATTTGGGTAGTGAAATATTTCTCTTCTGTAAGTTAAAGCAGAAGTCCTACACAGTGATGTGATGACATTAAGCCAATATTTTAGCAAAATGAGGAATCTCTCTACACACACCCCTTTTAGACCGCGGACTTCACTGCCGTATGTGCAGCACAACAGTGACATCTTAAGGCCAAGTGACCACAGCTCCTTTAGCCAGAGAAAGAACTTGAATTGGGATTTTACAGAAATTCCATGATATTATCAAGTAGTTTTCAAGTTTACAATTTGCAACTGACAGATCTTTATAAGTGCTTCTTAATTTTCTTTTCCAGTCTTTGTGGACATTTTAATGTGCACTAGTAAATGCTGACATTTGACATAGACGTATTGTACACTAATGCATGTATTTCACTGCATACTTTACTGACACTCCCCTTGTAAAGCTTTTATAGAAGAAACAACAAGCCACAGCAGTATAGCAAAAGAGGCTTAATCTTTATAAATTGGGGCCTTTTCTGTCTCTTTGCTAGCCTAGGTGGCCGCATACAAATTCGAGTGGGAGGGGGCAGGAAACACCTCTTAATATTTAAGGTTTTCTATGTGGGTGAACTCTTGCCAATTCAAAACTAATTGCTTACTTTAATAAAAAAATTTTACCATTTTATATAAAAATTAAATCGCAAGATGTTTAATTGAAATGGCTGTATTGTAATTAATATTTTGAGATAATTGTGACTTGGGGCTTAAATTATATATAAAAATTGTCATTTTTGTGTTAAAATTACTGTATCACAATTAACAGTACTTTTTAGTTGAAGTACATATTGATGTATATAAAACTGAATAGAGACATATTTACTACTTTATTAACATAGATTGTGAATGTACTGAATGGATTTTTTGCAGTATGAGACCATATGACCTTGAAAGCTGCTTCATTTTATGTGCAAAGAAGTCCTCTGAATCTCTATTTTAAACTTACTGAATCAGTGAAATAGTTAATTTGCAAATGCTAGCTGTATCCTCCAGTTTTATGTATTGACACTAATCTATAAAGGTGTACAATGTGATTAGAATGCATTTTGAAGATGCTTTCTGTACAGATACAAAACACAGGGACTAAAATAATGCTGTGCAGTGTATAGCAGAGCCATTTTTCGGCTTTGGTGTACTCAACTTTTTCAGTATTTAAAACAAGTGTTTTGAATAACATAAGTCTCTTTATTGTATAAATAATAAAATGTCACCTTATTGTACAGTGTCTTTTGTTTAATGTCAAAGCAAGATTTTTCTTAGTCAACCAGAATTGTAGTATGAAAAAAGCATGTTTGTTTTAAAGAAAAACACAGGCACTGAATTAATATTTGCAAATGTAACTTTTACTACAAACATGTACTATTTATCTTTATTAGCAATGATTTTTTCCATAATATGAGCATGCCTCAATCATCCAAAAGGTATCTATCTATCTATCTATCCATCCCATCTATCTATGTGAGTTAATATACATCCTATTGATTGGTTACTTAATTGAATCACATGGTAACTTTTATAATGACTGATCAGCCTAGCCTACTCCACATGTTTCTGGTGTAAATAAAAATGTTTATATTTGATATTTATTAAATGAAGTTCACCTGTAACAACTTCCCTTTTATAAAATTACCACATGACAAGTTTAGTCTTATGAACATTACAAGCAAATTTAAAAATTAAGGCCCTGGAATTTTAAAAAAATGCACAAGGGTGGATTACAATACACCACAGATGAGATTATATATACAAATATCTGCTTAGTAAGTATTTAAACAAAGTACATTTCGAGATTTCTATGCAGTACACATTATTAGTTATGCTCTGTTGCTAACATCTATAGAATTAACAAAATCAGGTCTTCAGTACTTTTTTATAAAAAGAACAAGAAGTATTTTTACACTGGTAAGACTGAGGGAAAAATATGCACATCCAGTCTCTTTAAACTTCTTGAATCTAGAAAAACCAAATTATTGTATGTAAACGTAATACAAAGACATCATTTAAAAAACCTTGTCAAGTTTTAAATTCAAAATCGTGAGAGTAATTATAACAACACTTTTATTATTTTCTCCACCAACAACTGTCTTGTGTAGCATTTCTGTGACCTTAGAAACCATGACAAAATGATTTCATAAAACATGGGGTAAAGGCTAGAAATATTTCAACTAGATTAAAACAAAAACAATACTGTGATGTTAATTTTAACCTTATGCTGAACCCAACTACATCACAAAAATCCTATCATCAGTAATTGAAAAGTTTGATTTTTTTTAAAAGGCAAAAGAACAAATTCAAGTCAATTTTACATCAAATAAAAAGATCAAAATTGGATGGTCATACTCAAGTCAGTGGTCACATTATATGTAACACAAACAAATGGGGGGACCACTTCTACAAACATGCTTTGTCATAAAAGCATTAAACTACATTAAATAAAAATTCAGTTTTAAACAAACCGTCTTCTATGTTATAAGGGAATGAAAATGAGTAGGATAAATCTTGTGCAAAACATTCAGACCATATGTATGTACACTGCACATGTTATCACCACTACAAATGTACACAACACCTTAGAAAATGTTAATTATCAATGTAAGAATTCTAAGAATTCACATGATCAGAATTATAAAACAACTCCAATTTAAGTAGGAATTCGGTCTCTCAAATATTCCAGAACAGCAGCTGTGCCTCTCATTAATATGGCTGCCCGAGGAACGCGGAATGGATTTCCATCTAGTAGTAACGTTCTAAACAAAAGAGAGAAATTAAGGATTTTAACATTTTCCATTAAGGAGGCTTTTCTTCTAATTTCACTTATAATCTTATGAATAAGATGTGTGTGTGTTATTTTCCATTTGTCCATTTCAAATCTAGGCACTTGAATGGTTAGAATTAGAACAGCAATAATAACCTACCATGTGAAAGGTTCTGTGCTAAGTAATTTAAGTTCACTGACTCTCAGTTATCTTAACCCTATAATGTAGGTACCATTAATATTCCTATTTTAGAGATAAGAAAATACAAGTTCAGGGAGGTAAGAAAGACTTGTCCAAGGTCACACAGCTGCTATTAAAGGGAGGAGCTGTGATCTGAACTGTAATTTAACCCATCTTTTTCTCTGTCGCATAACCATATACTAAATGCCTGATTTATACAAGTTGGGGCAAAAATAGGTTTACAGTTGTGAGTGCCCAAAACAGTTTATTTATTATTATTATTTATTATTGTATTATTTTCCCTATGAACATCTGCAAGCCTGCTCTGCCCCACCCTGTATTTACACAAGTGTGGAATGCGCATGCTGACAAGCACTATCCCAGGGGCTAAAATGTGATCAGTATGTCCCCCTCCTCCTTGGGAAATACTGACAGGTCTGCCCTCTCCTACCTTTGACCAGATACACATATACAAATCTATTTACTTGTTCTGAAATGAAGTTCAATTTAAAATTTAAGGGCCTGTTAATTTGTTTCTTTAATAATTAAGAAATGTCTTAAATTATAAGATAAATTTTTATATTAATTTTAATAACTTAAGTGTTTATGTAAACAAAAGTCAAAGGATTCACACCATACATATCATACCTAAATTATATCTTCAAATACTTTCATGAGCCTTGGGAATTTTTTAAAAGATTGATTTTTCTTAATTTATAGAAGTTAATTACAGTCAATCCTCATTATTCAGACTCTACATCTGCAGATTTGCCTACTCACTAAAACTTGTTTGTACCCCAAAATCAAGACAGCTGGCACTTTCAAGGTCATTCTTTAACACACATAGAGCAGCAAAAACCCTGAGTGACTGGATAGGCACATTCTCCACTGAGGTCGATCGAACAGGTGACGCTGCCTTCTTATTTTATTCAGCTCCCACACACTGTAAACAAGGGTCCTGTCCCTGGTCTTCTTAGTGTGACATTTTTGCATATTTGTACTTTTGGTAATTTCACTGTTTGAAATGGCCTGCAAGTGTAGTGCTCAAGTGCTCTCTAGTTTTCTTAAACAAGAAGGCTGTGATAGGCCTTCAGTTTGGGCTGAAGATACTCCTGCTAGAGTATCTCAACAGAAAAACAAAACAACCAAATGGCACTTCAAAAAATCAGTCAAATAAATGAAAAAACTTAGTACAATGGGGTAGTTACCTTAAGTTCACACAATTACCAAGCTCTGGTGGAATTTGTAGAAGGTCATTATTTTGAAGGTCCAGTGTAATCAGATTTTCCATTGTCTTCAATTTTTCAGGGTCCACAGATCCAACCTGATTATTACTAATCAAAATTGTTTCAAGTGTAGAAATGTGATACAAAACTTCAGGTAGTATTTTGAACCTACATAAATATATTGTAATCAGAGGCAAAATCATTCATTCCAATAGATGATCTTAAGTTTGATATTCTGAGATAAAGCTTTCTTTAGTGTAAGTTACTTTAGATTTGGTTTAAGTCTTATATTCAAATTTGCCAGAAAATAAGGAATATGTATTTTTGGAAACCTTGAAATATATGTTAGGTGGACAGATTTACGACAATTCCTATTTATTGTATAAAATCAAAAGTTGAGAGTAAATTCTCCAATACTTTCCTTTCCACATTTAAGAGACAAGCAAATCTTCCTGAGATCCTGTATAGAATGTCTCCATGTAGGTATTCTTTGAGAGTTCACTTGTATTTCTTATGAAAGAGAATCACTGCCAAACTTAAGTAAAAATTCAAGATACCTATTTGTTTTGAATGAAGTTTCAAAAACAAGTGCATTTTCGGTTCCTGAAAAGGATGATAAACTAGCATAGGCTATCAGCTACCACATCCAAAGCAACCCTGAAGACGTCCCAAGGGAGATAAGAAAGCCAATGGCTCTCAGAGCCATTAACACAAATCCCCAAGGACCTCTTGGTGCAACAGCAAAGGCTAAGCTGAAGGCAGCTCTGTAGTTCCAGAGGGACAGGGGCATCAATAACCAGGAGTACAGCTGGACCAAACTGCCTCCAGTTAGTCCCTTCTCTTCTTTCTCACCAACCCACAAACAAGTTACTTTAAAAAGATGTGGCTCAACTGTTAATATAGAAGTTAAGGTTAACTTTCGCCACTTCCCCAAACACATTACCTGACAATGCAATTGACAACTCAACAGATAATTCAATAGAGAAATGACAGTTCAACAGAGAAATGGCAGTTCAACTCACAAGTAAAAATTAGGAAAGATCTGAGAAGTGCATATATTTTTAAATCATGAGAACAATATAACCTACACACAAGAAGCAAAAGATAATGGGACAGGACAAAAATTTAAATAGGCAGCATTTTAATATCACTATGCCTTAGCTTCTTCATTCGTCAATGAGGTATTATAGTAACAGCACGAAACTTATACTCTTGTAAGGCCATATTCAACTCCTTGGAATGTTCCAAACACAGCATGTTCTCACATGGTTGTGCCTTAGTACACACTATTTGCTCTACCTGGGATGACTTGTCCCTGTGGTCTGGCAAATATCTGCCTATTTTTCCTCTATCTTGGTTATAATGCTATCTCCTTTACCTTCCAGTGATTTCAGGGACACCTTTCTGCATTATGCTTCAATTGTAGCAACTATAATTACTTAAACAATTAAAAGGAACAAAAAGCTAATGTCAATTGTGAAAACTCAAAGCAAGCAACATCACTTTCAATTCTAAGCAGAAATGAGTGAAAATGAACCAAGATATTTAAAGAAAGTAAAAATATAGGGCTTTTTGTCTGGCTCTTTTAGTTGTTTTCTCTAGTTAGACCCACAAATTTTAAAGAAATAATAGTCACAGATTTGCCTGTTCTCTTACCTATTAAAGGAAAGATTGATTGTTTGTAGTCTTATCAATGATTGCATTTCTTCAGGCAAAGAATTTAAAAAATTGTTTCTAAATTGGAAAGAAAAAGATGATTTACAAAAAAGTTTTGTTCAGCTTTAATATATAATTTAAGTGTTGATCAAACAAAAAATTCTGTAGCTCTGTCAATCTTTGATCTGATCTCATTAAAGCTGAGTCCTGAGAATGCTAAATCAGTCAGCTGCCTCAAGAATTTGGTTAGTGTACCAAATCCTAATACCAATACCCAACCAATCAATAATACAATGACCTCTTTAACAGTAGAATAAACACTGTAAATTATTCCCTTATGTCTTTCAAATTAAACTCAGCAATACTTCTCATGGTCAGGACCCTTTAGATCATGCCTATAAATAGTACATTATTTGATACCACAGATATTTCACTGGTGTTAATACATACATATCTTGTATGCAGAATTGAAATTCTACTCCAAAAAATTGAAATATTATATGAAAAAATAAAACAGGACAGAAAAAAGATACTATATGTTTAAAAATGTGTAACTTTCTACTACATAGGTATTACGCAAGTCCATCTCTACCCTAAGCTTAGAAGTACAATTTGCAGTGACTTTTTTTTTAGATTGTATGTGAACAAACCATGGTAGTAAACAGAATCTCATTTACTGGTGGAAGGATCAGGAAACGATGTTACAAGAAAGGTTAACAAAAAGGTGGGATTCCAGAAGCTGTATACCTACCTATAGTAGAAAGTATCTATGAGAAAATTATATCCAACTAGATGGCTACATATTATAATTGAATAATTTTCTCTAACTTATTATTTCTTTACATTCAGAAGTCAAGTCTAGTATTTAAGAGTTGTATTTTCTACACCTCAACCTATGTTTTGTTTTCTCTGTACTTCTTCTCCAGTCATTGCCTTTATTAAGTTGTATGGAATAACCTATTGCTGGTTTCTATATTTTTCAAGAAATGCTTATAAATACTGGTATCAGACATAAAAGCATATTTTAGTCACTTAACTAGAAATTTCCAGATATGGTTGCAGATGAAGGCATACACACATGCACACAGTCCACTGAAGAATGGGACAAAAAGAAATAAAGACATCAGCAACAGGGACATGAACTCATCTCTTTGCTGTTAATACTGAACTAAAATGTGGTTTAATACTGTTTTGCCAGTGTAACTGCCACCCCCCCCCAAATAGAAGCAAGTCTACATTTAGTAGGAGCAAAGTAAAGTAGATTTGCTTTAATCCCATAAAAAAAAAGTTTGTTTCTACAGGAAAAATAAAACAGACATAACTTAGCACATTGTTATTTGACTACTGTTTGAGCAGAACAAGAGGAACTACAAATAAACTAAAAAACACACCAAGCATCAATACATGAGCAGTAGGAAGCCTAGGCAGTAGACACATAATTTAGGATAAAGTTTTAAAGCCCATGCAATAAATGACTGTCTAGCCCTGAGACATGTAAAACTATGAGATATGTGATGCTTCTGATCCTGTCACATCAACTTCGAACATTTTTCAACTTCCTATTACCTCTGCAGAACGTTAAGTAGTTTCTTTTGTTTTTGTTACCACTCATAGTGTTCCTCTTATTTCTGGCCCTGCATTTTTAATGTAATATTTTGGAACCAAATAGTTTCTTTTTAAGAGAAGCCATGCTACGTCAGCATAGAGTTGACAGTTTTATGCTATTTGCTTCCAGAAAAAGAACAATGTGAAGCAAACACTTTCCTTGTGTTATTTGCAATTCTACACGAGCATGAATCTATCAAAGAATGTGTTAATATTTTCTAGTACTTTAAATAATTTTGTCATATCACCTGTAAATTGTCTATAAATGATAGATTTGATTAAAATACTTCCTAAATGCTTAATTTTGAAGTTATCCTAAAATATTTTTACTAAACGAAACACCAATTTCCATACTTACTTAGAAAAATATGAGGGGAAGAGCAAAAGTTAGGTAAACTCAAAGACAAGTTATAATAAAAAAAAGTGAAGCATGAATCTCATCAATACATACCTGAGATCTAAAAAAGTCAATTTTTGAAACATACATAATTCCAAGGATATAAAGGAAAGCTTATTAAAACTGAGATTGACATCAGAAGCCATGTCCTTCAGTTCCAAAATCCTGAAACAAAAATAATTCTAAAATGTTAGCACTTGAATTCAGAACCTCAAAACTATAAGCAGACCATAGAAGGTAGAAAGAACCCTACATTACATTATATTTGCTAATTATATTTTCTGTAACTTTTACATTTCTCACAAAAATTTCAATCAGTTTGGATGTGTAACTGATCAAAATGATTTCTAAAAACAGCCTTAATATTATCTGTCCCAGAATTTTACTTTGCCTTAAATGTATGTTGAAGTTTAAGAATCCATTTATTTTATATTTAAACCAATTATGAACAAAGATCAAATCTATGCAATTCTATACTGTACTTTGTTAATGGTTTGAATCCGTAAAATAAATTATTTGAAAATATATTCTGTAACATAAGTATTATTCATACAAGGAATTTTACATATAATTTCAAATTTAAGAACTATGAAAAATAATTTTTTAAGTAAGATGCAAACAAAACTTACAACGAAGCACTACTTAAGAGAAATGGCATCATGAATAGTTCTTACCGTTTTGGAATTTCACTTAGCTGATTCTTACTGAAGTTAATAGAAGTTATAATGTTGCTTTTTACTGCATCGAACACTTCATCAGGAATCAAAGTTGTTTGTTTATCACTAAAAAAATATTTCAAATCTGCATCATTCTTAGTGGTCCAGAAAAATACTATTACTTCCCACTTTTAAATAATTATAAAGATTTATAGAAATCATAAAAATTTTGAAGGTAGTTTATTTAGTTCTATAAAGAATGCCATAAAAACCTGCCCACCCACAAATGTTAGCTGTCAGGCATTCAGACACATACTGCGTCACTACACACTGCACCTCCCGAGCATTTGCATATTCAGTGTGAATGAAAATGAGATACATTTTCAGAGTCTAAGATGTCTAGAAGTCATATAGTAAGTGGACTGTAATATACTAAATGGATTCCTCTATCTCAGAGTAGAATTAAATCTGTAATTTTAAAATCTGTTTTGCCCCTTTTGTTAAAAATCTCTCTAATAGGGGTTATCTGTGAACTTTCTTTAGGTAAATAGTTAACTGCAAGAAAAGAATTATTTTTAAAAGTCCAACATATACTAAACTAGGTTCTCATAATCTCACACAATTTCTCTTTCCTTTAGAGTATGACAAAGTAGACAGCAGCGGCCTTGGTTCTGCCACTAATGAGCTCTGTCATTTATCTTTCCCGAACCTCAGTTCTGGGAAATTATCATCTAAAGAGTTATTCATTGTTATTTATGCCAGATCTCTTGTAAATGGAAATTTCCTTTTCAGTAAGACTAACATTTTCATTAAGATTTTTAATAAAATATAAATTTAACCTTAAATGAAAGTATAGAACTCTGACATTTGCTTTAATGATTTGTTGGTTATAATTAGCCATTATCCTTATGTTCTTTCTTAATAATTTTTAATGCCTAATACATCATCCACTTAAAAACATCCTTGATGGAATGTCCACTGAATGACTGTATGTACAAGGAAACAATATCACATGTGTAATATGGGAGAACTGCTTAAGAAAATCATTGTAATACAGATAGAATAAAAGAGACCTTAAATTTCACACACATTATGCCTATTACTTTTTCTGCTTTTGGGCCTCATTTTCTGCTGTGCAAATGCAGCATTTTTATCTTTTCAATCAGCAATGCTCAAGTCATGGAAAACTGATTTATTCTAATCAAACTTTGAAGATTCATGCTATTTTTTAAAATTTAGTTGAAGGCATTTATGCCTTAAAATTGAGAATTAAATTGTATCTTAAATAGTATACTCCTTTCCAATTACAGTCTCTTAGGAAAGCAAATTACAATAAACTTAAAAACTAAATAATCTAAGACATATCATCATTAATTGCTATATTTATTATGCTTTAGTGATATCTGTACCTTTAAAAAGTGGGAATAGTTATCCCAAATAAAATTGTATCGCTACTACTTTATAGATTGTTTGGAGGATTAAAAGCAATAGCAACCCTGGCTGGCGTAGCTCAGTGGACTGAGCACAGGCCTGTGAACCAAAAGATCGCGGTTCAATTCCCCATCAGGACACATGCCTGGGTTGCAGGCCAGTTCCCAGCAGGGGATGCACGAGAAGCAACCATACATTGATATTTCTCTCCCTTACTCCTTCCCTTTCCTTCTAAAGATAAATCAATAAAATTAAAAAAAAATTTTTTATTTAAAAAAAGCAATAGCATATGTCAAGTACTTAGCACAGAGTCTAGCACAGAACAGAGATTGAATGGTGCCCATTCAGGGCAGAGAGACGGTCTGTCTCCTCATTCAGTGTCCTATGATATCTAACACAGAATTTGATATCTAGTAGGCTCCAAAAACATCTACTAAATAAATGAGTATATTATGTGGAAGATTAAACATGCAAAGTTGCCATACTATGCTATGAGAGAAGAGAAGCACAAATATTAAGTGTTACAATGTCAAACATGGAAGCTGGCTTAGAGTAGTGATTTCTATTTACCTCTATGAGTGGCAGACAAGAGGTGAGAGCAATGTAAATGAAACACAACAAATCTGAAAAGGAGAGTGTATACTAACTGCTGACCAGGTGGTTCCTAGTGACACATAAGGAAAAGAGGCCAGAATACTGAAGCTAGCTGTGTGGATAATGGAACACATCTGGTCACTTATATGATTTGAGTCTATATTCGCTTGTATTTTCATTATAATGCCAAACCAATCACTGCAATAAGTCTGACAGTATTGGTTATTTGTATCATTGTTGCCTTCGTAGTGAAAGAACACTTGAAAACCACTCCCAATCTCTGCGTAGGTATCTTCCTTCCCCAATCGAATATACTTCCAAAATATACAAAAATAATTTTTAGGCTTCTGTCTCATTTTACATACCAACATTGTCATCATTTCAGATTTAATATATGTACACATTATTACACTTGCATTCAGATATAGTAACAGGATACAGACTCTTAAGCTTTGCCTGCTTGGGGTGTTTATTAACTAAATTATATTTATTTCTTATTTACCAATATGGACCCCACTATCACCAATATAAAATCCTCTCTGGATGATGAAGTCAGAAAATTTTATTACCAACCAATACTGTCACTCTCTTATTTTTTTACAACAGCAAAATGTTGTTTATCATAAAAATTTTACTATTAATAATTATCAATTTATGTCAAGAACAACAAACACAAAACACCTAAGGAATGGACACTTAAGTTCAATGTATTTTTCATATACTTCTATCTCATCATTGTTTTTACAAGTGCTATTATTCTAAATCAAGTATACTAATGCACTCTGATGAACTGAATTCTTCCTCACCAACTGTCCTTTTTCAGAAGGATTATTTTTAAAAGTTTTCAACATGTTATGTTTAAAAAATGAGTTCCATACCTGTAGTCTAATATTTTTAATGTGATGATGGCATGCACATTGACCCTGGACTCACTTGGCAGTGTCATGGCAGTCTCAATAACAGAGTCACTTTGGCTAGGCCCATCATCTGAGGAAAAAAAAGTTATATGAAGCCAGTATGTATAGTATGAAGTAATTTTTAAAAGCACGAAAATACACTGGAAATAGTATATGTGATTTACTGATATATTATTGGTGAGAATGTCTTCAGTTGTATGTTTTATTTCCAATAACTCACATCTAAGTTTGAATTTAATATTTAATTAATAAAAAACAGATAAAGTTACTACAATATGGCTTCAAAGTCTATTAATAATCATTTCATAAGAAAACTGAAGTAGGAAAGAACCTTCAAAGAATAACTTCGGAACTGTCTGCCTGGTTTCAGAAGCTGAAATTCTGCAGACAGGTGAAAAGGCCTCACGGCTAGGGGACCTTGGGACCATAAGCCATTAAGGAGACCAAACTTATCCTCCCAGGGGGTGCACAGCCTCTGCCCCCTTTACTTCACCCTGCTTGGTCCCTGGAGGATGGCTGCATAGTCAATGACAGGTAAAATTTCTCAAGGAAGAAACAACCTAAGACAGGCACAGTTGATAAGGGGCCAGAAAGTAAAGAGGACTTGGGGGACTGTGGAAGAGAGACAAAAGACTCACCCCTCAGCTTTATCATAGCCTGAGTTCTCATTCTATCTGTAAAACATCTCCTAATCTCTTGGCTGCCTTACTTCCCCAACCTGATTCAAGCCTGAAACAATGCTGAAGGGAAGTACAGCCCTGTGCAAGAACAAGTGGTTCCCAGAGTGGGGGCAATCAGGCCTAAGAAAGAATGCATAAAGTTCAGTGAAACCTGCTTTGCTAAGAATGTCCTCAATTTAAATGTTAAGGGTCCAAGCACAAAATACATTTGTTCCCCAAGGTTTTACAGCCAGTTGGTGTCACCCTGTCTACTGGAATCTGACTCAAAAGGACCCCCGTGATCCCAGAAATATTATCTGTAAACCATACCTCCTTTCTTTGATATGCATTCCTATGCAAGCTAAACTTAATAAAAGCCCATTGAGAGAGAAGCTAAAGACCTTTCTCCTCCAAAAGACTGGTCAGCCTTTCCTCCCCAAGCAGATCATATCTTGTTAGACTTATTCTCATCCACGGTGGCCAGGGGAGTTCTGAAGGTGGAGCCCCCCCAAAAATAACTAAAATGTCTCAGAAGAAACAACAAGAAATCATTCCTCTTTCCTCTAAGCAAAATATAAGTAATATTGTCCATTAGAAGAAATATGTTAACAACAACAAAAACGAAAGAATTACTTCCCACAAATGTCTAACAGATACATATATGCCTATCTTTTCACTTTAGGACACAGTGAAGCTGATTATCCCCAATCATTTAAAGTCTGGCAATTTGCATAGTCCAGAAAGTTTTTAATTTTTATACAAATTAGGATTTTTTTTTTAGCAAATGCAAGACTTTATTTTCAACAGACACATTCTAACATGTGTGCTTACTCCCACATCCACACACAATCAGCCTCTCACTAATCTCCAGAGACTGCAAGTCCCTAGCAGAATCCCAGCTGACTTCTTTGTAGAAATTAAGTTGATTCTCACATTAGTATGGGCTTGCAAGAAATCCAGGACAGCCAAATTAAGCCTAAGAAAAAGAACAGAGTAGGAGGAATTACACCTCCTGACTGCAAAACTTTACTACAAAGCAACAGTAATCAAGATAGTGTGGTATTGGCACAGAACAGACACAGAGATCAATGGAATAAAATGAAGAGTCCAGAATGCACCCAATATTTATGGTCAGCTGATTTTCAACAAGGATGGCAAGACCATTTAATGAGAAAAGGATAGTCGTTTCAACAAATTGTGCAGGAAAACTGGGTAGCAGTGTGAAAAGAATTAAACAACTCGTATCTCACACCACATACAAAAATTAAAATAGATCAAAGACATAAATGTAAGAGCCGAACTATAAAACTAAGAAAAATATATAGGGGCAAATCTTAATAAAATAAGATTCTGTGAAGAATTTTTAGATATGAAACAAAAACATAAACAAATAAAGAAAAAAACAGATAAACTGACTTCATCAAAATTCAAAACGACTTTGCAGTGTTCCAAAGGACACTATCAAGAAAATGAAGACAACCCAGAGGGCTAGAAAATATTTGCAAATCATATATCTGACAAGAGATTTATATCTAGACTATATAAACAACCATTACAATTCAATAATAAAAAGATAAATAATCTAATTAAAAATCAAGCAAAGGAGACGAACAGACATTTCTCAAAGATGTACAAATGGCCGATAAGCACATGAAATGATGTTTAATATCGTTAGTAATCAGGAAAATGCTAAACAAATCTACAATGAGATACTTCACACTCAATAGGATGTCTAGAATTTGAAAGTCAGAATCAAAACCTTCATAAAACCCTCAAAAGGTAGCTCGGTTGATTGGAACTTCATCTTGATACACCAAGGGGACATATAATAAGCAACCAATGAATGTATAAATTAAATGGAGAAACAAATCAATGGGTCTGTCTCTCTCTTCCTGTATCACTACAACCAATTACAAAAACCTCACACAAAGCTGATGAAAATAAAAAGTTATGCAGCTGTTTTGTAAAACAGTCTGGTGGGTCTTCAAATAAAGTTACTGTATGACTCTGCAATTTTACGCCAAGATATAAATGCAAGAGATGAAAATATATATGTTCACACTGAAATTTGTAAATATGCTGCCAGTGGAAATGGGGTTCTTGTTGTGTGGCAAGAAAAGCTTTTCAGTGACCACGAATGGGAGGATGAGGTGTAGTGGTTAAGATTTACTGGGGTAGAAAGAAATGACTGCCCAGGTGCCCAGAGTCTGTATCTCATTCACAGTTAGGTGGTTCGGCTACATCCACTATGGAAGAAATCTAGCTTTGTCTTTATCAAGCCCCAAATAAAGACCAGGATCCAGAAATTGTGCCATTGGTTCAGTCCATGCCGAAGCTCAGTGCAGTTCAGTCTCTGTTCCCATCCAGCTAGTTTAGTTTCTGTTCCTGGCTGCAGCTGTGCTGTTGAACCCAGATCCCTGTTTGGGCTGACAGGGATGCAAGGTCCACGTAGCTCTCGGACACACATTTAGGAGCCCTGCTTGGAGCCCAGGTTTGGGCCCCCAGAGCTGCTAGGCCCACAAGGCTGCTATGGAAAGAGCAGGTGCAAGCACATTAAGTGCACAAAGGAAGCGACAAACCTGTATTACCAACAGAAGCCTTTGTTAAGCTTTGATTACCTCAGACTTTCAGAATGACTAATCTTTCCCAATCCTTCAAGGGCTTATGTTGGGTCCTCCCCCAACCAATCCATTTCCCAGATCTTTGCTGGCTAGTGCTGAGACTTCCCCCAACCAATCTGGTCTTTTTCCAGATTAGACATCACCCCTTTTCGGTCGCCATCTTGGCTCCTACTATGCGCGTCTCAAAGTTTTGCTGGGATCATCTGCCTTGTACTGTGCCTGTGCTCACCAGCCCTGCACCACTTGTCTTCTGTTGGTCAAGAACCCAGCAGAGTAATTTCTCCTTTTGTTTTTATTTCTCCTTCGTTAATCCAGGCTAACAGCCACCTACTCGAGGTGGTTGGAAAGCTGGTCGTTCTCAGTATATGGGGAGAGGATCCCCTGGGCAGAACAGTGGGGTTGCCATATCTTATAACCTAGTTAACCAACCAGCTTTGCCCCCTTCTCTTTTATTAATTATCTAGCTACATACACCAACAAATACACAAATTTAACAGAAATCATACAATGTCTGCTTTCAGGTAACAATATAATTAAACAATATTGGTAATAAAACAACTGGAAAATTCTAAAATACAAAAAGATTAAACGACACCTCTCTTTTTGTTAATCTTCACCTGAAGATATGTTTATAGATTTTTAGAGGAAGACAGAGAGAGAGGGAGAAACATTGATCATTTGCCTCCCATATGTGCCCCAACCAGAGAATGAGCCCACAACCTAGATATGTGCCCTGACTGGGGATCAAACCTGCAACATTTTGGTGTATGGGATGATGCTCCAATCAACTGAGCCACCCGGCCATGGCAACAAATTTCATGGCTCAAAGAGGAAATCTAAAGAGAAAATTTAAATATTCTCAACTGTATGAAAATTAACACACAACTTAATGAAATTTGTTGGATGAAGTGAAAGTAGTGTTTAGGCAGAAATTTATAGGACTGAATGCATATACTAGAAAAGAAGATACCACATTTTTAGGACTATAAGAAACACCGGACCATAAGAAGCACCTAGGTTTTACAGGAGGAAAATGAAAATTTTTGAAGCAAAAGATGTGGTAAAATAGGACTTCCTGCCAAGATAGAGGCACAGGTAGACACACTGCGCCTCCTCGCACAATCAAAAGAAGGACAACAACAATTAAAAAAAAACCAACCAGAAAATTGAACTGACTGAAAATTGAACTGCATGGAAGTCCGACAACCAAGGAGTTAAAGAAGAAACATTCATCCAGACCGGTAGGATGGGGTGGAGATGGGCATCCAAGGCAGAGAGGCCTCGCAGCAAAGCAGCGGTTGGCGGACCCAGTGAGGCGGTAGATTGTGGAACAGGGCATGGCACGCAAGGCGGCTGGCAGACCAGGAGGTCCCACATTTGTACACAGATAAACCAGGCAAAACCGGGAAATGAGACAGACTGTGCAACCCAGGGTCCCAGCACTGGGGAAATAAAGCCTCAAAACACCAACTGAAAACACCTATTGGTTGAGGTGCCAGGAGAGACTTCCAGCCTCACAGGAGAGTTCACTGGAGAGACCCATAGGGTCCTAGAACATACACAAGCCCACCCACCCAGGAGCCAGCATCAGAAGAATCCAATTTGCTTGTAGGAAGTGGGGGAAGTGACTGACATCCAGCAGAGAGCAGAGTAAGCACCACTGTTCCCTCTCGGACCCCTCCCCCATATATGGCATCACAATGCAGTAACATGGGTTGCCCTACCCTGGTGAACACCCAAGGCCCCTCCCTCACTATGTAACAGGCATGTCAAGACAAAAAAGATGGCCCAAACAAAAGAACAGATCAAAGCTCCAGAAAAAATATAACTAAGCAATGAAGAGACAGCCAACCTATCAGATGCACAGTTCAAAACACTGCTGATCAGGATGCTAACAGAACTGATTGAATTTGGTCGCAAATTAGATGAAAAAATGAAGGCTACACTAAGTGAAATAAAGGAAAATGTACAGGGAACCAATAGTGATGGGAAGGAAACTGGGACTCAAATCAATGGAGTGGACCAGAAGGAAGAAAGAAACATTAAATCAGAAAAGAATGAAGAAACAAGAATTCAAAGAAACAAGGAGAGGCTTAGGAACCTTCAAGACATCTTTAAATGTTCCAACATCGAATTATAGGGGTACCAGAAGGAGAAGGGGAAGAGCAACAAGTGGAAAACTTATTTGAACAAATAATGAAGAACCTCCCCAATCTGGCAAAGGGAATAGACTTCCAGGAAGTCCAGGGACTCCCAAAGAACTTGGACCCAAAGAGGAACACACCAAGGCACATCATCATTCCATTAGTCAAGATTAAAATGAAGGAGAGCATTCTAGAAGCAGCAAGAGCTAAGGGAACAGTCACCTACAAAGGAGTTCCCATCAGACTGTCAGCTGATTTCTCAAAAGAGACCTTACAGGCAAGAAGGGGCTGGAAAGAAGTATTCCAAGTCATGAAAGGCAGGGACCTACATCCAAGATTGCTCTATCCAGCAAAACTTTCATTTAGAATGGAAGGGCAGATAAAGTGCTTCTCAGATAAGGTCAAGTCCAAGGAGTTCATCATCACCAAGCCCTTATTATATAAAATGTTAAAGAGACTTATCTAAGAAAAAGAAGATAAAAAACATGTACAGTAAAATGATAGCAAACTCACAATCATCAACAACCACACCTAAAACAAAAACAAAAAAACTAAGCAAACAACTAGAACAGGAACACAACCACAGAAATGGAGATCGCATGGAGGGTTATCGACAGTGGAGAGGGAGGGGGACAGAGAGGGAAAAAAGTACAGAAAATAAGTAGCATAGACGGTAGGTAGAAAATAGACAGGGGGAAGGCAAGAACAGTATGGGAAATGTAGAAGCCAAAGAACTTATAAGTATGACACATGGACATGAACTAAAGGAGGGGAATGTAGGTGGGAAGGGGTGTGCAGAGTGGAGGGGAGTGAAGAGGGAAAATGGGACAACTGTAATAGCATAATCAATAAAATATATATTTTTTTAAATGTGGCAAAATATATAATAACCTGTGACCCCATTCCACCGCCCCCACCCCCACAGGGAGCCAGGTAAGCTACACTGGGACTATAAGACGCACTCCCCCTTTCCCCCCAAATTTGGGGGGAAAGTATGTTTTATAGTCCAAAAACAGGAGATCTAAAAATCAACAATCTAAATTTCCACCTTAGGAAATCAGAAAAAGAGGAGCAAATCAAATCCAAAGTAAAAAAGAAGAGAAAATAAGAATTCAAGCAGAAATTGATAAAATTGAAAACACAAAATCCATAGAGAAAATGTTGGTTCTTTGTGAAAAAGACTGATAAATTGATATGCCTCTAAGCCAGGCTAAGAAAGAGACAGTACATTAATCACTAATATCAGAAGTGAAAGAGGGGATACCACTACAGATCTCAAGACATGAAAAAAATAAAAAAATAGTAAAAACTCTATGCCCACAAATTTGATAATTTAGATGAAACAGACCAATACTTTGAAAGACACAATCTGCTGAACTTATACAAGAAGACACAGAAAACTCCAAAGGCCTTATTAACAAAATTGAATCAAATTCAATAACCTTCCAAAACAGAAAGCACCAGGTCTAGGTAGTTTCAGTGGTAAATTCTCCAAACATTTGAAGAATAAAATTATACTAATTTTAAAAGATAGAAGCAGAGGTAATACTTTCTAATTCATTTTAAGAGGCCATAATTATCCCTAAAAAGGATATAAGAAAACCAGAAAGCTATATCTCTCATAAACATACTTGTAAATCATCAACAAAATACTTGTATGGTGCTAAAAATATGAGTATTTTCTCCCCACCTTCTAAGTTTTTCTAGCTGGGTCAATTATCAAATTACTAGAGACAGATTAATAGAAGAAAATAATAGTATTAATACACGTACATGGCAAATTCATATAGGCATGGAAATGCCAAAGACAGGCAACACTGGGTATATAAGACATTTTGGACAAACGAGAAAAGCAGGCAACAACGGGTGTTAGATTTCGGAAGTGAGAATGGGCAACTTACAGGTAGTTGAGGGAGAGCAGAACATATATGGAAGGAAAATCTTTGCTAGGCAACTCAAAAACAATGAGGTACACAAAGTGTATCCCACTGGAGTCACCCTAACTAATCCTAGGGTGAAGATGCTTAAGGTGATTAAGCTGGGCTCTCTTCCTAAAACAGATTTCTCTGAATCTCCTGGGCAGGAGAGGGGTGATTATGACATATTCATTTTGGTTTAAAAATTTAAAAAAGGACCATTCTGGTTAATGATACTGACAATGGGAGAGGCTATATGGGAAATCTCTGTACCTTTCTCTCAATTTGTTGTAAACCTTAAAATACTCTTAAAAAAAACAAGGCTTGCCCTGGCTGGGTGGCTCAGTTGGTTGAAGTACCATCCATACACCAAAAGGTCGTAGGTTTGATCCCCAGTCAGGGTAAACACTTAGGTTGCAGGTTCAATCCCAATCATGGAGTGTACTGAAGGCAACCAATGAAATGTTTGTCTATCGTATCAGTTGATCCTGGTCTAGGTCTCTCTCATCAGTAAACATATCTTTAGGTGAGAATTTTTTTAAAAATTAAGTCTTAACATATCAGAATAAATAAATTTTCCTGGAGGAGAAAACATACCTGGGGAAGAAAGAAAACTTTTTGGCAGGAAATAAGTAAGTTATTAAAATAGTTAGAAAACTATTTTAATAACTTAAACAGTAAGGCAAAAAATGGCAATTACTAAAGTATATAATTATTTATTTAACATATACTGACTGGCCATATGTGCTAAGCTAGACTGTGAAAGCAACAGAGTTCTGAGCATAATTAACAGCTGCTATACTTAGCCAAAACATCCTAGAGTGGCTTGGTGGTGTTTGCGGAAACATACTCATAAAACTAACTAATGTTCTTGCTCTGATCTTGATGCTCTAGTGTACACTACAATGACAGACATTAAATAAAAACTGGTATCGCAATTTTAATGCAGCATTAAAAATTAAATTTATAGTATCATTTTCTATTTTGGTAAATGTTCATGCTAAATAAACATCCTGAAAATTTTGTTTTGTCTTCATTTTTTGTCAGAACTTATCAAATGCAGTATATATTCAAATACAAGTTAATATACTCCCCAGTTATATTATATATACCCAGTTGTATTATTACATGTAATAATATATTATACCACACATAAAGCTATATTATACCACATATGCAAGTATATATGTATATCCATGTGCATATATATAAAACCCATATATTATACCATAAAAGTCTAATTTTCCTTTTTTCAAAGTTAAAGCACTTGTGCTTATTGAATCTTTGCCATATTTTCTAAATGGTACACTATAACACAGAAATCAACATATTAAAGACATTATTATTATTAATTCAAGAATGTTCTTAGAATTTCAAAATACTTATGGCCTTATATGGATTCAGAATTAGAGCCACACCTACCAGTAACCATTTTCTATAATTATTTATACCCAAAATATATGTAAACCTATGCACTATTAACACTTTATTACCTTTCATATTATCCTTAAAAATACAGAAGAAAATGAAAAAGTACCTTTAATCTTGCTTCGTAGATATTTTAAGACTTCTTGGGTTCCTTTCTGAAAAGGTAGAAAGACATATTCACTAACACATACCTTGATGCTTTACACATCAATACGAATGTATGAACTTGAAACTTAAAAACTGAATCTGGTTTCTAAATATGCTTACATTTATTATTTCTCTTCGAATGGTTCTCATAGGATTTCCTTCTAGTGCCAGCAATTTCAAATGAAGTTTTCCCAATGAGTAGGGCAGACTACAAAAGATTAAATTGATTTCAGGGAAAATATTAAGGGTATATACAGTTCAACCAAGTAGTTGATTATATCAGTAATAACATTATAACACTAACATTGTAGGCCTACATTACTTGGGTATTCTTTGACATCAAAAAATACCCAAGTAATGTAGGCCTACAATATTTTTCTTTGAGGTAAATGCTTAATATGTAAAAGGGAAACCAGATTTGTTTGCCGTTGTCACATTATTATCGTTAAAACAGAATATGAGCAATAAAACATTTGCTAAATTGTATCCAGTGCTAAAAAGTAGTAAATGTTCAATATATAAATTTGAATGAATCAGTGATTCAAAACAGCCATCCTCATTGATACTAAATGGTTTGATTTTCCCTTTAAGCAAATAAATAAAATTCTTCCTAAATAAAAAATAACAGACAAAAATATAAAACTAAATTTTAATCACGCAATTCATATTTTCATTTAATAAGAAAAGGCATTTTTATCTTTGTCACACAAAAAGATACCCTGTTGAGACTGGGTATCCAATCTCACAATTAAGCATCTACAATATACTAGGCACTGCTTGGTGTAAGGCAGCAATTTCAATCGGTATGCTGCAAGGGTTTTTAAAACATGCAATACCCAACCATTCAGGGGCACTGACCTCTTTTCCCTTATACTGTCAAATAAAAAAAATACCAACAGTCAATACAGATTAAAAAATGACAAGAGCCATTACAACAATAACCATGGGTGTAAATGAATCAAAATTATTCCACTTTTTTTGTCAGATCAGCAAAAAATATTTTTGATGTGCCACAAAATTTGAGTAATTAGTTTATATGTGCCATGAGGTAAAAAAGGTTGAAATCGCTGGTGTAAGGATATCAAGATTGTTGCCCTTAAAGAGTTCTCAGTTCAACAAAAAAAAAAGACACATACACAGCTAATTAAAATATAGTAAGGAGGAATTATCTTATGTTGCTGGTGAGCATAATAGCACAGCCACTCTGGAAAGCAGAGTCTTATAAAGTTAAACATACACTTGCCAAACAACTAAGCAATCCCACCCCTACAGATTTACCTAGGAGAAATGAAAATAATGTCTAAACAAAGACTTTTACATGAACATCCACAATAGCCAATAAACTGAAAATAATTCAAATGTCCATCAACTAACCAGTGAAGAGATGAATAAATTGTAGTATAGCTATATAGTGGATTAACATTCAGTAATAAAAATGAGCTGCTGATACACATAATTACGTGAATGAATTGCAAAAGCCTTATGCTACATGAAAGAAGACAAACACAAAACTATATACTGTGTGATAAAAAAAGGCAAAACTACCGTGAAAAGCACAACAGTAATTGCTAGAGGTTGGGGTATTAAAAGAGGATTGCAAAGGGTATGAGGGAACTTTAGGGAGATAAAGAAGTTCTATCTATATGACTAACGACGTTTATACAAACATACAGTCGTCAAAACTCATCAAATTGTATGCTTAAATTAGTGAATTTTATTGTACTAAATTATATATCAATATATATATATATATATATATATATATATACGTGTATAAGACAAATGCTAAACTAGTTGCTACAAAAGATGCAGAAATTAGTATTGAGGATGGTAAACACACAATACAATTTACAGTTGACGTATTATAGAATTTTACACCTGAAACCTATATAATCTTATTAAAGTCACCCCAATAAATTCAATAAAAAGGAAAAAATATTTAAAAAAAGAAAAAGAAAAAAATTAGCAAGGGTAGCAAGGGGGTAGAAGGAAGTAGCAAAGCCAAAAAAGTAAAATGGGATTCCATCAGTCAGGCAGGAAAAGGGCATTCTCAGGTAAAGAAAGAAAACCACCAGTACATTTACAGATCAGTGTAGTCTGGGAACAGCATACTTGTAGGAGAGAAAGATGGTATATAGAGAGAATAAAGCCTGACTGTGAGATGCCCCTATATTTTATGCTAAAAAGACTGGATTTTATTTTTCAAGACAGTGATGCCCAATTGCTGGAAATCCAGAGGCATACAAATCTCCTAGGAATTGTTTAAAACAAAAACCAAAACAATTCTACAATCCCATCATTCCAGATTCTGATTCATTAGTGCCTCGGATTCTCTACAGCAGCCCCCCATTATCCTCAGTTTCACTTTCCACCATTTTAGTTATCCATAATCAACTGGGTAAAAATATTAAATGGAAATTACCAGAAATAAACAATTCATAAGTTTAAACTGTGTGCTGTACTGAGTAGCATGATGAAATCTCAGACAGTCTAACTCATTCCCTCCTGGAGGAGAATCATCATCGCTTTGCCCAGTGGATCCATGTTGAATATGCCACCTGCTCACTAATCACTTGGTAGCCACCTGGGTGATCAGATCAACTCTCGTGGTTTCAGCACGCCTGTGTTCAAGTAACCTTATTTTACTTAATAATGGCCCCAAGGGCATTCACATAACTTTATTAGAGGATATTGTTATAACTGCTCTATTTTTATTTTATGTTGTTAACCTTTTAATGTACTTAATTTATACTTCATCATATGTATGTATGTATGTATAAGAAAAAAACCCTATAAAAAGAATTAGGCACTATCCCTTGTTTCAGGCATCCACTGGGGATCTGGGAAGATAAGGGGAGAACTACTAGCATTTTGGTTTTTTTTTTAACTCTTAGAGCTTCTGAGTGCTTTTGATGCATAGCCATATTTGGTAACCAGTGCTCTTAATGATGTAGAACCGTCAAAGCTTTTTAGTAGAAGGATGCCCTGTTAATTTGTATTTTAGAAAACACACTCTGGTAGCTATGTAAAGGATCAGTATTTTGGTAAGAAGACATTCTGGAGAGGTACAAAATGAATGGATTGTCTAAGCAGAAAGTATGGGGTTAGAGGTAAGGAAGGAAACTAATATTTTTAAGTGCCATTATGTCGTAGGCCCTGTGATTTTATATGCACACACACTCTTTACATCCAAAGCTCTAAAAACAAGAACATATATACCAGAAATATTTCTACCAATTGCTTTATTTAATATTATTTATTAAAATTTTTGTTTTAAATATTTGCTTTCCACTGCTTTTATGCAGTGGCCAAAATAAAGAACTTCCATGTGGGAAAATTTATATATCAACATTTATAAGAGGCAAGATATTTTTTCATTCACTAGTCATAAAATAAAGCACTTTTAGGGACATTCAGGTCACTTACTGTCAAAAATGTAAGTAAAAAGTGTCACTCTCCAAGTATTCAAATCTATGGCCATGACATACCATATGCAATATGTACATTGTGAAAACAATTCTGATTATTAAAAATACTTATTTGTTGGGAACCTCCCTGCCCAGTTTCAGAAGCTGTAATCCCCCTTTGGCTAAGGCTGAGTAAAGGACCTTGGGAACCATAAGCCACTTAGGAGACAAAGCTTATCTTCCTTGTACAGGCACCACCTCTGCCCCCTTTCTCTTCACCCTGCTTGGCTCCCGGGAGGATGACTGGTTAGCCAATGATGGGTAAGATTCCTCAAAAGAGGGATGACTTAAGACAGGCATGGTCTTGAAGGGGCACTCAGGGAAGGACTTGGAAGGCTATAGAAAGAGGGGGTGGACCCTCGCCCCCTGGCTTTGACAGAGCCTGAGTCCTCATTCTGTCTGAAAGAAGTCTCCTAATCTCTTGGCTGCCTTACCTCCCAGCCTGACTTAAGCCTGAAACAATACTGAAGGTGGGTGCAGCCCTGTGCTGGAAAGGGCGGGTTCCCTAGGGCAGATCGTCCTAAGAAAGAATGCATAAAATCCCATGAAACCTACTTTGCTAATACTCTCAATTTAAATGATAAGGATCCAAGCCTGAAATGAGTTTGTTTCCCCAAAGTTTTATGGCTCTTTACCTATCTGACCCTGACTCAGAATAAGACCTCAGAGTTCTTTGAATGTTATCTATTGTTTAATCATTTCTGCCTGACAATGACTGATGAGCTTTAAGTACACACCCAGTACTCCTGTGCAAATCAAATCCAATAAAAGTCTGTCCAGGCAAGGGTCCAGGGCTCTCCCCTTGAGAGAGTGGCTGCATCATCCCTTTTCCTCTACGGGACTCCACAGTCCATGTGAATTTGTGTGGTCTCATCCATAATGCCACGGACCCCAGGAGCTGAGATCCAAGTTATTAAAATATACCCAGAAGAAAGTCTGCCCTGCCCAACCATCCACTTTCTATGAATAACAAACCATGTTTCTGACATCCAAACACAAAACCTCAGACATCTAACTGGTACATAATCCTAAATGGAAGTCATATTTTTAGTATCTGTAAACATTTTTCCATCTCTAAATACAGGATGTGGCAAAAGCAGATTTACAGTTGTCTGTATGGAAAATAATACATTATTCAATGATAATACAAGAATAAACTCTGTTTTGCTTACTCACAATTAACTGTAAACCTACTTTGCCCCATCCTATATTATGGTTCTATAACATTTTATGATTCTTCCGTACTCTCCTCTTCCCATCTCCAACACAGGCAATAAATTGGTAAATACTACTTATTCTAACACATCACACCTCTCACATCTTTCCTCTTCTTTCCATTCCCACTGTCAAGTACAGTGCAGGTCCTTATTACAGAAGTCTACAAAGTTGTCAATACAGTGAACTGGATATATGAAGTGTTCCTTAATGTTAAACTTAGTACATTAATCTAATTATTTAGATTTCCAACTTACAAAACCACTTGTATCCAATGTACCTTCCCCATTACCACCAATTTATTTTTTAATGAGATTACAATCAAGTTGGTTCTGTCATTAACCTTTCAATAGCTTCCCACCTCTTAACTAAAGAAAATGGCTCTTCACAGGTATTTCAAGGACCTCTTTCTTCCACGTGGCCCAACTTCTCTTTCAAGTCCTAAATTCTTACAGTCTCCCTACTTGCACCCTATTCACCAGTTCAGTTTAATTCCTTGCTGTTTGTTCTCTGATACATCTCTACAATTTTCGGAATTTTCAAAGCTTTGTACAGTTTCCTCCTGCCAAGTGTTTCATTCTGACCTGGTTACCTGCGCACCTGAAAATCACGGTCATCCTTTAAGAATCACATGGTGGCACTACAATGAAGCATGACCATGAAAGTGAGTATATTTGTACCGTTTGTGCTCTAGGCAATTAACTGGCCTCACCCTAGTCCTAGTTCTAAAGATCATCTAAACATATTAATTCTCTCACAAAGTCTACCCTGATACCTCTCAGGTAAGTTGTATTTCCTATATCTCCTTCCAGGCCCCAAAGTATTTTGCATCTCTCCCATGGCTTTCCATTAACAAATTTGATGAATATTAGTATTTATCAGGCACTTTATGTGTATCCAAGCACTGATCTATAAGTTAGAGTAGTGAAAAAAACAGATAAAAATGCAGCCTTTTGATAGTTTACATTCTAATAATAGGTCAGAGTAACTTGTGAAAGGGTCTCATTCTATTAGCATATTAAGTATGCTGTCAAGGACAAAATCTTACTACTCTTTGTGAGTCTGTACATAATACTTCCTTAATAAGTATTTATTGAATTTAATTCAGAAAAAAATCTCTACATGCTTTTTCACAAATACTTAAACTAATGAATTATAACCAAATATAAACATAATTTCTTATGCATTTGGTTTTAAAACTTACCTACTAATATCGTTGTTGCTCAGGTCAAGCCTTTCCAATGATTGCAGCAGTGTAATTTCATCTGGGACAGATTTTAGCTTGTTATCCCGCAGGTCTAGCACAAGGATAGCATTCAGATGCTTAAGATGCTCTGCCCCTAACATCTCAATTTGGTTTTCACCTACATGTAATTCCTATAAAACCAAAGGTTAATCATGTATATTTCTGTGTTCAATGTTATGCTACATAATGAAAATAAAATTGAAATCTTAATTTCAAATCACTGAAAAACACATGGTAATACATAACTTTCTAATCACAAAGGTGCTTAAATTTTCAATTACTCAGCCATCTTATAGCTAAAGAAAAATGGCAATAAAAATTTTCTTGTAATTTAAAAATAATTAAAGGTTTAAGCTGATACAAAGTTAAATGTTTATAAAATCAAAGAAGAGATATGATTTAGTGGTTACACTTAGAGAACTGAATTATACTGATGGAAGATCAAAATTTTAAAATAAATCAGGGTAAGTTAAAAAAGTCACATTACAATCAGTTTGTTATTCAACATTTTCATTAGTGATTATTATACATATTGATTTCCCATTAACAGAATCTATAATTATCAGAGGAAAATTAATCTTATAAATTATAACTTTCAGTCCTTTTTAACACGGCCAGCATCCTACATAAAGGAAACTTTTTTTAACACTAATGCATAGAAGTATAAATAAAGGAAAGCAAAGTATGGCAAATTGAAAAGACAATGCTAATGCTAAATAATTAAAACCAAAAGAAAGTAAGTAATTTCAAACAGACCTGATTACAATGAGGTAAACATGAGAAGTGTTAACTTATTATACAATAGGTACATATTTCTTCCTGGTATTCTGGTATTCCAGGTCTCCCACAACACTGCCCCAACTTACCACTTCAGCCTCATCATCTAGTGCTTCTCCAGTTGTAAACTACACACCAGATAAAATGGGCAAGTTTCTATTTTTGAAGTTGATTATTTCTTTTTTTTAAAGAATTCATTACTGATAATACCATTAATATATTAAGTCATACTAAAATTTGGAAAACTATTGATAGAGGAAAAACATAGCATATGTAACTAATACATATTTTCAATGTAAAACAAGATTAAAAACTTCATTTTCATTATTAACCTTTGGGAAAATATGTAGCTATTTAATAATCAACTAAATAGTACCTTTAATAATTTACAAGAAGGAAATGCTGGTAAAAAACGTAATTTATTCCTCTGCAAATAAAGCAATTCTAGTGATTCCATGCCAGCCAATTCAGGAGGTATAGTTTCCAAAAGATTTGAATTACAATCCAAGTGCTTTAATCCTGTAATACACATTTAATAAAAAATAAAATTATTTTAATAGAAAAAATATTTGTAATTATATGTACATTCAAAAAATGTATGTAATCATGCGAACTTCTGTACCTGTGCTGTTATATACTGCTATAATAATCAAGAACCCTAGAATACCACTGAATTAAATAAATATAAACTAAATTTTTTTCATTTAATTAAAATTAAAGAGAACTGATACTAAAATCAATGCTTAATAATGGTCCACATCATTTTTGTAACATTTAAAAAAACAAAATACTTTGGCCCTGGCCAGGTAGCTCAGTTGGTCAGAGCCTTGTCCTGATACACCAAGGTTATGGGTTTGATGCCCAGTCAGAGCATATACAAGAATCAAGCAATGTATGCATAAATAAACAACAAATTGATGTATGTTTATTTATTGATGTTGTTTAAACAATGCAATCAACCTAGAAGAAATTGTGACCTGAGTCTGTTGCTAAAAGAAACTTTGAGGGCTTTGCAGATGGAGCTGTGTCTATTATAAAGGATACTGTCTCTGGGCAAGTCCATGGGCTTGAATGTGGATGATGACAATGTGGAGAAATTGGTGGAGGATCAAAATACTGAGCTGACCACTGAGGAACTCCCAGAGCTTCAGAGGGAGCAGCAACACTGAGGTGGAGGGAAGGGAGGATATTCCTGCTTCATTAATTAAGGAAATGCTTGGGAGATGAGGAGAAATGCAAAGTTTTATTGAGAAATAGCACCCTGACAAAACAGCAGCAAAGGATGCAATAAAGTTATTGAATGACAATGCAATGTTTCACTTCAGGCAAGTGTTAAAATGCAGGCAAAAACAAACATCACTGGACAGGTTTTTAGTGAGACAGAGGTCCAGGGAGCCTGAAGCAAGTTCTAGTGGTACGGAGAGACAAGAGAGAAAGATGCCCAGAACAACAGCTACCTCATGTGTTTTCATGGACGAGGACTCCCCTTCAAAACAGTAATACCCCTCCACCCTCCTCTGCAAATTTAGGTATCAGTAGTTCTCAACATTACAGGTAAGTTCAAGTATGCATGTAAATTTTCATTTTTTACTATACATTTCACTTCCTTTTTGTTAGATTTTCATTTATATTTCATGTTCTTTTTCTTTTTAAAGTATATATAGATTAAACAGTACATTAGACATATACTCTATATAAGAAAGGTTAAAAAGGTAACTATTTGGGGGTCTGGAATGTATTACTTCAATTTATGTTACTTCTAATGGGAAAAAATGATTTGGTTTTCAAACAAATCACTTCTCAAACAGCCTTCTGGAATGAATTAAGTTCAAGAACCAAGGTCCCACTGTACCTTTACTGAAAAATGGCAAAGGGAAGCAAACTTAACTATTGCAATCACAAGTAAAGCCTTCCCCAAAATGTCAATTTGATTTATGTGGATTTAACTTATGAATTACTATTTAAAATGACAAATAACTATTAATCTAAAGTAAAATATACAATTTTACAAATTCACCTCAAAATGATCCATAACCAACTGTACAACATCACTTCTGTAACTTCATTTACAAAAGGGACACTTAAAAAAAGATTTATGGATGATTAGGAAAATAAAACTAGGTAAGGTAAAATCTAGAGATAACACACTTTGCGGTATCAACCAAAAAATAATAATAGTTTACCTTTAAACAAAGAGAAAAAAATCAGTTTAATGATTTTGGACTCCAAATCAAAAACTGTAAGATTATTAAGTATGCTTATTTAAAAGGTACTAAAATGTACCTGAAATATTTTTACCTCTTAATATTAGTTCTACAGTACTTTAAATATGATGGTTCAATGGAAAGCTATAATAGAAGCACTAAATTTTAATGCTTTTTAAAAAAAGGGACTCCTAGTTTAGGCCAAACTAGACTCTCCTGTCATTATTAATTATGAAGCAGGAGGAGGCTACAGCTATGGCATAACTATATGGCATAGGTAGAACATCTATGAAAAGGGAATAACCTCTTAGTGAATGCTAAATGAATGAATAAAAATACAGCATAGCTCAAAACCTTAATTTCTCAGGTATAATATTTTATCACAATTTATAATATTTTCTTTTCTTCTTTTTCATATGAGAAAGTATCTTTTTGGTGTTAGTTATTTAGGAATTTGCTAGATAGTAATGGTGTAGAGGAAACCTGACTAGTTGTTACTGTTTGCATTTATCACCATAAAACCTATTATCTTACTTCTCTGCAACTAACTGTATTAAAGTTTATTTTTCTAAATGCAAGTTGCACCAACTTCAAATTTACGTATTTTTGAAAATAGAGATTTACTTTTCATTCCACTTATTTCTGCTGGCAAATTCTTCAGTTGATTACTGGAAAGATTGAGTCGTACCAGACTGAAGAGAGAAGAAAAACTAACAGGAACAGTTGTGAGATGATTATTCGAAAGATCCTTTAAAAACAGAAAAACAGAATGAATAAATGAACATGTAAATAAATAAATAAACAGTCCCTAAAGGGTATTTCAAATCTTTGCAAGAATTAAAACATAAGCAAAAAAAAACCTATTTCAGAAGTGATATGTTTTATAACCCTCATTCACTGACAATTTCACAAACCATTCACTATCTCAATATTCTGTGGGCCCACTATATGCTTAATAGTGTAGCAAAGAATGAATTCTGACTTCAGAAGTTTATACAAGGGTACTATTACTACTAAGTCATACTATATTATGTATCCTGCTTTCAATTTCTAAAAAACTGATTTGTTTATCCAATATTTCTTGAATACCTTTTGATAAATAGGGCAAACTGTATGAGCAAATAGTAATATGAAACAAAAAATAACTGTGTAAGACAGAAAAATTCTTAAAAGAAAAAAAACCCTGAAAATATGGCCATTTTAATTTTTGAGGGAAAAATAGTCACTCATGATTTTCTGCTGACCTCAGCAAGCCTTCTCTGACTAAGTCCAGAAGTCCACGACACTACTATTCATTCCAAGTTGCCTAATTAACCTTTATACGTCAATATTTAAGTCATTGTTTTGTTTTTTCTTTAAACAGTTATGAGGACTTTTTTCAAAACACTCCCTTTAAAAGAAAATGTTATAAACCAGATAATTCTTCTCATAATATTTGATTTCAGTGTAAGTGCTTCACCAGCTATCAGCAAACTGTTAAGTAGGGCCAGTAGTAACAATGAATAGAAAAAAAAGGAACTGCTCTTATATTAAACTACTACACTCTATAATTCTAAATAAATTACGATACAAAAAGGTAAAAATTCTACATCAGCATTTTGAAAACACACTGTTATATTGTAAATAACATTATCATAATCTACAACACACAACGTAATAACCTATAATTCCAATACTCTAAATTCTAAGAATCAACAAATTAATAATAAATAAATATTGTATAATATTAAAAGTTACTGACACTAAATGCAATGTAGTATTCTGGATTGGGTCCTAGAATAAAAAAAAAGGACATTAGTGGGAAAATCTTCATAAAATCTGCACTTTAGTTAGTATATTAATTTCTTACTTTTTACAAATGTCCCATAGTTATGTAAAATGTTAAGACTGAGAAAACCTGGGTGCAGGGAGTATGGAAACTCTGTACTATCTTTACATTTCCATAAATCATAAGTTATCCCAAAATAAAAAGCTTGTAATAAAAGTTTCTACTAGAGAAAAGATACTAACTCACAAATTCATTTTACATAATCCAAATCAACAAATTACTAACAAATTATTGTAGTTAATAATTAAATTAGATATAAACTATAAGCAGATTATATATAATCAGTATTTATGCTGCCAATTCTTCAATAAATATTTATTTAGTACCATTATGCAAAATAGTTTTAAATAACTAAGAAATATTACTAGTATTACAGATGCATATATTTTTTATTCATTTATTTATTTTTAAAATCCTCACCCAGGGATATGTTCACCGATTTTTAAAGAGGAATGGAGGGGGAGACAGAAGGGGAGGGAGGAGAGGTAGGTGGGGAGTCGGGGGAGAGAGAGGGAGAAGCATCAATGTGGGAGAAAACCACCGGTTGATTGGTTGCCCTCCCCACAGCCAGGTATAGAACCACAACCCAGGTATGTGTCCTGACCTGGACCCAACCAACCTGCAACCTTTTGGTGCTTTGGATGACTCGCCAATGAACTAAGCCACTCTGCCAGGACCAGATGCTTATACTTTTAACGTTTTAATATACTATTGCTCACATTATGATCTATTTGATACTGAGTCCTTAAGATCGTAACTCTAAACTGAAATATTCTTTCATTATACTACTATAATCTAGGAACCCATAAAGAGAAACAACTGGGAACTGCTCTAGCTAATCCGAAGGTTTCCTTTCTACTACAGAATCTTTGTTTTAACAAATAATTCAATTACTATATTTACCATTAAATTGTATAAGAAAATCTGATGGTCCCTCCTTTGCCATTCATTTTATCTACCTATGCCTTTTTACTTTCCAAGCCTTATCTCCAATCTAATCCGATGGACAGATACACTGAAGAAAGGGTTTAGGAAAGCACGTATTCTGATTTCAAAAACTAGAGCAAATAAAGGGAAATATGAAGAAGGATATATTTACAGAAAAAAATAAGTAAAAGAAGTATTTTTCCTTTAATGAAAAATAAACTTTCAGGCTAAAATGATGTGAGTTTTTCAAACACGTAACAAGAAAAAGAACAAGAATATAATATTAAATAACTATGTGGAGTGAAGGTTTTTAGAATATCTGATCTCATACAGCTAAAGTCTTTCAGAGAGGATATCTTACAGTGGAATGTTACTCCTTCAGTGGTCAAGAGGGGAAAAAAGACACACTTTGGAATCAAACTGGCTAATGTTGAAAGCCCAAATTCCTTATTTACTGGTTGAATGACCACCAATAAGTTACTTCTTTTTCAAAAGCCTAGTTTCTTATCTGTATTAGGGGATAAAACTACCTATCTTGCCATATGTAAAGTTTACAACAAAGTGCCTACTATTTTTATAATATGATTAAAATAATATTTATATTGCTTTACAATTATCTCTAAGATGTGACAGAGATGTAGCCATTCTGAAAAAGAGAAGAAATCCCAGGCCTTAAAGAGAATGATTAGCTGGGGGGTGTTCAGTGGGGGCACTCAGAGGACAGGAGGGCTACAGAGCCCATCAAGGAGATGGTGGAATGGCTATAGAAAGGGGAACTGGTACAGGCTAAAGACACTTTTCCTTGAATTTGCTAAACCATAAAAGCATCTGAATAACAAAATGTTCCTCATCACCTCTTTCCCAAACTCTATTCCTAAATTAAAATACTAGGTGATTTCATAAGAAACACAGAAAAAATAAATTTACAATGACTAATTTAATGATCTAATTAAAACTCAGTTTCTTGTAACCTATTCAAATAATCGGCTGCCCATTTTCTCAAGATTTCAATCATATTTTCAAATTATCAGCCTAATGAAAAATCCTATCAGCCACAAATTATATAAAAATTGGAAAATCACAACTCACCAAATCTTCTAAATTGAAAAGTTGTTCAAATCCCTCAGGTAGGCAAGTTAGTTCATTATGCTGGAGATACAGGCCCTTCAGGTTTCTTAGATTTGTAATTTCTTCAGGGAGTTGTTTCAGTTTGTTATGGCTATTAATTAATAAAATAAATACTGAATAATTTGTTGACAACATATTAAATATTTATAAAGATTTTTTATTCTAACCAACTACCTGAAATCCGTAAAAATATACAATATGGTTACTAATTTTAAAGTTATCAAACTCCATTTTAAACTTCATACTCATTAAAAGAACAATCTAAAGCAATCATATTGAGGGTTTCAAAGGAAAGCAACAAAGAAATAAAGGTTTTTAACCAAATAAATATTTGTAAATTTTTATAATCAACACTTAATCTTACATTTAATGTAAAAGGGATACACTGGACTCAGTATTTTATATGGTATCTGAGTTTTAGAATTCCGACAAGGATGTGCACACATACACTGCAATGGAATCTCACATGGGGGTTATGTTTTAAACTTTGCACTCCAGACTAAAATAGCTATTTCTGTCCGAAGGCCTGTGGTGTCCATTTGAATGTAATATGAAACTCCACTCGTCTTTGTACTTAGTTTTGACTTTTCAGCTTAGTCCTTCTACAGAGATATTCAATTTACTGGTTTACAAAAAGTCCCAAGTCACTGAGGATGATACACACCCTGATAATTTAGGAGTTGATTTAACTTGTTCCCAGATTTATCTCAACTATTCATTTAGGAATGCCACTCTATTTTCATGCCATATATAATTATTTAACAAATAATGGAGAAATGTAAATGTAAAGGGGGTAACTAACAATGACCCTTAAGTTACATTAAAAAAAAAAAGTTGGAACAAAAACGCCAAACATGTGTTATAAATAAGAACTAACAATTGTCAAAAGCTGGTTACTATTGTTTTATTTAATTTAAATCTCTATATATTTGATAGTGATCTAGTTGGGCAGAGTTGAAATTCTAGCTATACAAGTCCTGTCCAGAAAGTATCCAGCCATGCACTATGAAAGACATTTATTGAAGATATAAGATACAGGAAATATTGTACTTAAGACAATGATGCCTCTGTCCCCTTTAAGTGGGCACCTTGGGACCTCATACAGTTCTCCCAATTGCCATCAGCTGCCCCATTGTATTTTCCTGAATCTCACCGACAGTCTGAAATCTCTTCCCTTTCAAAGGTGATTTTAGTTTTGGGAAAAGTCATAAGTCACAGGGCATCCTACATTGGAGCTGTCACTTGGGTGATTTGATGTTTCACAAAAAAATTCTGCACCAGACCATGATGCATGAGCAGATATATTGTCGTGATGAAGCTGTCAATCACCAGTTGCCCACAGCAGTGGTCTTCTGAATCATCCAAATAGTTTCCACAGAGGAATGTTCAAGTTCAATGTAAAATTTGATGCAGACCCTCAGTCATTTTGAATGCGACAGCCACACAAAACTCACTCAATGGTGTCTACCACCCCCATTGACTAGTACAGTGAAGTCATCGTTGTTCACACATGCACATTCCAGTCTATTCTTCTTGGCTGCCAGGTAACACTGATGCCAGGCAAACCATTCTCGTTATATTAACAATGGCTGGACTTTTCCCGGACAGACCTTGTATACTTCCTCCATTTCAGCTCTTTTTTCCTCCATTCTAATGTTCATGCCCATTGGAAGCCAAAGCTAAAGTAACACACACTCCTTTCTCCCTTACCTCTTCCTCTCAACTCTCCCTATGTTGCTTTTACAGGCCACATCAATGCCTTTGACTTATAAGGGGAAGTTCTAATGCAGTTCTAAACAATTAGCACCTTTTCTGTGTAGAGATATTTTTCTTGATCTATGGTGATTTTTAGTTTTTTACCAGATGAGGACTATTATTTGAGATTCTGGTTTTCCTCAAACCAGTAATATACCTTCATAAAACAGAGTCTTGGCTGTGCTATGTTAAATAGATCCATAATTCTGTTTTACAAACCATAGTTTTCAAATGTTTTGAATACTTAAACCTTTGTTTATTCTCCTAAATAAAATCATTCCTAACTCATTTCCCTCTAGTCTGTGTGTATATAAGGAAGTTATTCTTTCTTGAAAGTCTGGATGTGTAATGAAGAGCCACCGAGCTTCCCATATACCTATCAATGAGTAGCAGAAGCCTATCATTAGAACCCTAGGAATCCTCAGAAAACATTAAATACCATTAATACCAAAACTATAAAATGTTTCATCATTAACAAAAGAAAAACTATTCAATTTCTTCCTCTTTCTTAATACCTATTCTTTAGAATAGCGACATAACTTAAAATTTGAGACATCAACACAGAGGTTTCTAAAATAACTTTGTCAAATTCTTTCATAAAAATAAAACAAAAATACTTTTTTAGCTCTGGCTCAAGTGTCTCAGTTGGTTGGAACATCAACCATGGACCAAAAGGTCACGGGTTCAATTCCCAGTCAGTGCACATACCCAGGCTGTGGGTCCAATCCCCTGCTGGGGCATGTGTAGGAAGGAAACCAATTGATGTTTCTCATATCGATGTTCTCTCTCACATCTCTCTCCCCCTCACCCCCTCACTAAAATACAATGGAAAAAAATCTCCTTGGGTGAGGATTAAAAAACAAAAAGTATTTTTAAAAAATCAACTGGTCTTAAACTTGTAAAACCAAAAAACACGTAGGCAATTCTTAAAAAGAAAACAAAACTGAGAATTAAAATTACCAGTCTTATTCTACTTTAACCACTTTCTGATTTAATACAAAAATACTTTCTAGTGTTAGAAATAATTTTTAAAGAATATTAGAAATAAGTAAGTTTAAATTTTACCTGACATTAAGTTTCTGAAGATTTTCTAATTCTCTTATAGCAGAAGGAAGGGATGTCAGCTGATTGTCATGTATCTAAAAGTTATTAAAAGAGTCAATATCTTAGTCTTTTAGTTAACTATATATTAGCTTTTTCATTGTATACAATTCTTCAACAATAATCCCATTCTTCTAATTGAATAGCATCAAATTGGGTATTGGTAATTTGCTCTGTGTATAGAAGAGGAAAAGGAGTTTGAAATGAATCAAATTGCTGTTCAGATATCATGAAGGTATGTCATCACTATTAAATATTATAATTAAAAACCTTCACTTCACTGAGTGGAATTTCAATCTCAAATAAGACATGGGAGAGTTAGAAACTAACAACAGCCTTCGATGGCATGATTTATGTCAACATATACAAAAACTAATGAGAAGGGAGTAAGAGACTTCTCTCATGTTCTCAAAGAATCACATTGTTTTCACAGTACCAGAGATCTTACAGAACACCTAAGCCAATCCATTCACTTTGAAAATGAAGAAAATAAAAACTTCTCTAGAAATTTGACTAGATCTAACTTTTTAGACAGGAATTGGAAGATATTTGATGTTCCTAAGTAAAGAACGTCAGAAGTGTGTAGATTGTGAAATAAACTATGCACACTTTATCATACGACATGGCAACTACAGACTAAAACACAGTCCCTGAATACATACAAAAAATTTAAGTTTAATAATTGAAGTCAATGTTAAAGGAAAGTTAAATTAATTGTAAGTACAGTTGACCCTTGAACAACATGGGTTTGAACTTCACAGTTCTTCTTATTCAAGGATTTTTTTTTTCCAGTAAGTACTGTAAATGTATTTTCTCTTATGATTTTCTAAATAACATTTTCTTTTCTCTAGCTTAATTTATTGTAAGAATACAATATGTAATACATATAATATGCACAATATATGTTAACCTGCTATTTATGTTATGGGTAAGGCTTCTGGTCAAAAGTAGGCTATTAGTAATTAAACTTTTGGGGAGTCAAAAGTCATACATGAATTTTTCAAATGTGCAGGGGGTTACTGGCCCTACCCCCTGCACTGTTCAAGAAACAACTACAGTTGCTTTAACATTTAGAATAATAATGATATTAAAATAATAGCAATAGAAAAATATGAGTATCAGGAACCCTTGTTAAAAATCCATTCTATTTGTAGGCATTAACTCATTTAATTCTAAGAACAATGTTTATAAATAGGTAGTAGTGCCAGTCCTGGTTTATAGATGTGGCAACTTGAGGAAGAAAGAGGTAATTTCCCAAGTTTACACAGCTGTCAAGTGACAGTCAAAATTTGAAGGCTGATGTTCTGACTCTACACTCCTAAACACTATGTTATGCCTAAAAATAATGTTATCTTTCTTGTATTTTACCAATTGAAATGGGTTTTCTGCTTATTAAAGCCTAAATTTAGCTTTAGAATCTCTTCAACTAATGACCCATGTTTATAAACAGTCAACTTACATCAAGAACAGTGAGTGCAGGCAGGAGGCGGAGGTCGTCTGTAAGTGACTGAAGTTTATTGTTGGATATGATTAATTTGGTCAAATCTGTCTGCTCCCACCATCGCTCAGTAGCACTGAATGAAAGATTCTGATTAGCTTCCTCAGGAATATCCACGTTTATTCTCCAGACACACTGAGGCACTATTGCCACCACAACCAGACCAAAACATAAAAGGGACAGATAACAAGCAGTTAGATTCTAAGTGACAAATTTTTATAATAGCTAATCAGTTTACCTACTGAAAAGCAACTGCTAAACAATAAAAAACTTCAAATAATTCAAATAGCAATGAATTCTAACTAGATTGGAGAAAAAGTTTATTTTATTAAAAAACGACATGTGATGTGTATTTTACATAACGATCTCACTTTTATTTTCATTCAATTTTATTTACTATATATGTACTCTGCACAACACCGAATGGTACATATATACCAGACAAAGAAGGGGTTCTACCATTATGCCAGCAGAATAACAGAGGCATGAAAGTCAACATTTATAAGGTAATGTTATAAATTTTATAACAGAAGTATATGCCGAGTGTCAGAAAGCACTGATAATAATAGTACCTAATAATATTAATAATATTTACAATTACCAGGTAAATTTCTAACATATTCATTTAAACTTTATAACAACTCTGTGAGGTAGGTGCTATAACTATTTTCATTTCACAGATGACAAAAATAGGACACAGAGAGAATTATAATTTATCCAGTATTATACAGCTAATAAATAGTAGAGATGGGATTCAAACCCTGATAAAGCTATATTGGCTTGTCTCTCATTGAATATTTGGAAGGCCTATCTGACTCTGGTAGCTGTTCTCTACTTCACCCGATATACTCATCAGAAATGATAACATATGGCCACACAAAGACTGTATCTGAAAGCTCCTGAGAATTTTATTCATGATAGTCCAAAGTTAGAAAAAACTCAAATGTCTATCAATAGATGAATGAACTATTTGACAATAAAAAGGATGAGCATGGAAATAAAACTAAAATAAGCAAAAGAAGCCTAAAGCAAACAAACAAACAAATCATCACAAGTGTATAATTCCATTTAAATGAAATTCTGGAAGAGGCTAATCTATATTGACAAAAAACAAGTCAATCACTAGTTGTGTGAAACATTGGGGTTAGAATGACAGCAAAGGGGCATAAGAGAACATCTCAAGTTTTAGAAAGTTCTGTAATTTGATTGTGGTTACACAATTGTGTATATTTGCCAAAACTCATTGAACTGTGCACTTAAAATGGATGCATATACTGTTGTAAATTATACCCCAATAAGGTTAACTCTCGTAAAAAAAGATGCCAATTTTTAAAATACAGATAATGTAATATACGAAAGTAATCTTACATATGTATGTACAGAAAAACCGCTACATAAGTAAATATCCACATATATGTATACATGAAAAAGAAGAGAAAGTCTTGAAATAAAACATAAATTATTTAACAAGTGCAATTCTTAAAAAATAAATTTGAATAAAGCTCATGTTAAATGCTTATATGACTATAAATTGTTTGAAGTGTCATGGTACCTAGTACAATACCTGGGAGAAACACAGAGAGTACGTATACAAGAAATGCTCTTTAAATGAGTATGTGGCACTCCCCATAGCACACAAATGCTTTCACATTTATTATTTCATATACTTCACATAAAATACTTCTCATGGTGTCTCATACATATTGATGGAAATCTGAAAGAAGCTATGTTTGATAATCTCTTCTGAACATAATTCATAATTTTAGGTGATAATATTTAGGAGTAATGAGGGGACTTTTTAAAAAATTAGTATATTTTAAAAAACACAACCATGTGTAGGCCAGTACAAGCAACAATTTAGTAAAAGTTTATTAGAAAAGAGAGTAATAATAATTTTCTGCAATTATGTTGATTATGTCAAAAATGCTTCTGTAGATTTTTATCTACATTTCCTATAGCTTAGATTTTAAGAATCATAACCAACAGGCCACTGTACCATTTCTGTGTGTCATTTATTATTGGACCATCAGTTATTAAACAGAGACATGTAAAAAGATAATAAAGGACAAAGATGCTGAACAATAAGAAAACAAACAATCCAATTTAAAAATGAACAAAAGTCTTGGCTGGCGTGACTCAGCAGATTGAGCCCCAGCCTGCAAATCAAGAGGTCACCTATTCCATTCCCAGTCAGGGCACATGCCTGGGTTGTGGACCAGGTCCCCAGGAGGGGGTGCACGAGAGGCAACCACACATTGATGTTTCCCTTTCTCCCTCCCTTCCCCTCTCTTTAAAAATAAATTCATTAAATTTTATTTTTTTAAGAAAAATTTAAAAAATAAAAATGAACAAAACATCTAAATAGGCACCTGACCAAAGAAGATATAAAGATGGCAAATGAACATAAGAAAACATGACACACATGTTATTAAGGAACAACCAATTAAAACAACAATGAGATACTGATAAACACCAGTTAGAATAAACACCAAAAACCAGAAGATACCAAATGATTGCAAAGATGTACAGCAACATGGACTTTCATTCATTGCTGGTAGGAAGACCGTCAGACAATTTTCTACAAAAATAAGCATAGTCTTACCATGTGATCCAGCAACAGTTCTCTTAGGTTTATACCCAAATGAATTGAAAACATGTCCACACAAAAACCTGCATACAAATAATGGCTTCATTCATAACCATTAAAAACTGAAAAACCACCATGGTGTCCTTCAAAAGGCGAAATGAATAAATAAAATTGTACATACATACCATACAATATTATTCAGTGATAAAAAGAAATGAGCTAACAATTCACAAAAAGAAATGGACGAAACTAAAATTCATATTGCTTAGTGAAAAAAGCCAGTCTGTAAAAGCTACATACTCTGATTCCAATTATATGACATTTTGGAAAAGACAAAACCACAGAAGGAGTAGAAAGCCTGATGGCTGCCACAGCTCCAAGGGGAAGCAGAGTAAGAGATGAATAGGTAGAGCTCAGGGTATTTTTAGGGAATGAAACTATTCCAAATGATACTGTAATGGTGGATACAAGGCATTATGCATTTATCAAAACTCAGAGCAGTACAACACTAAGTGAACAGTAATACAAACTATGGGGGAAAAATTTTTGTTTTTGTCATTCTTCAAATACAGGATTCTGAAGAGATGGGAGGTGTTATCTAGACATTGCATACTTTGAGTAAGATTTCAAAAGTTTTTTTTTTATGCTGTCCTAAGAAGTTTATGCTGAATCTTGAGCATTACGAGGAGTCATTAAATGTTTTGAGTGACATAAGATGATCTGTATTTTGGAAAGATAACTCTTGGTAATGACACTGATTAGAGTGTGAGACTTAAAACTAGAAATCCAGGAAACCCCTTAGGAGGCTATAGACATTATAACAGCAATAGGCAATTTTTTACTGTGCACTCTTTATGTACCAGTCACTTTACTTGTGTTATCTCATTTAAACCTTAGTAGGTCCAATTATTATTATTACCACATTATTAACGAGAAAATAAGGCACAGCAAGATTAAACATCTCAAAGTTACATTACGAAAGACAAGGAGATAAGGAGCATGGCCCCACATAAGGGACTATAAATAGTTCAGAATTAGTAGTTTGGGTATTTAAGCTTTACTGACCAGAGGAAATTGAAGGCTAAAGCTAGATAAACACCTCCTATATTATGACAACAAAAATTCCTTTTCGACATATAAACTACAAGTACCATGTGCCTCTCTCATTTATATCTTTTATTTCCTATGAAATATTGTACATTCACTTCTTTGACATCATATATTAAGTACCTAGTATGTGTCACATATCGTGTTAGGTTCTGTTTATACAATAATAACCTAAAGCACACTGATCCATGTCATTACGGAACTAAGAACCAAAATTCATTTGCACCCTAAAACTTTAACAGACTAAATCTGGATCTGATCAATAAGGACATTCCAACACACCAATTTGTTATTTGGAAATATTTATTCACTTGCCTACTCCTTGCACAAATGTTTAACAATAATGTACTAGGTACCAAGTATAATTTTGGGTGCTAGGAATACAATAAAAAATACTAAGCTCCTTGACCTCACAAAATTAACTAGTGAGAGGGCAAGGAAGTCAACAAACAAACAAACAAACAAATATTATAGATTCTGAGAGTGAATTTTAAAGCCGTTTAAAAATTAAACAGGTAAGAGGACAGAGTGTTAGAAATGGTATTTACAGATAAGGTAGTTAGGAAGGGCCTCTCTGATGTGTGACCTCTGTGCAGCCTTACAGGAAGCAAAGGATATACAGAGGAAAATGTTGAAAACCAAGTGCAATACATACCTGTAGTTTTATAATACTTATGTTCCCACTGATTAAAAGATTTATCGTGTAAAGCAGAGATTTTATGTCATATATCCTTTCATTCACTCAGCAAGCATTTGCTTGATCTACTCCATACATGGCACAATAAAAAAGCAACCATTAGAAGGAAAATTGAAGTTTTTAATCCAAGATAGCCTAAAACCTGACTACATATTGAGGAAAAGATTACAGAAGGAATGCTGTATTCTTTCTTTCCCCACTTCCCACTCCCTTCCTTATACAACCGATAGAAGAGCATCTGGCTATTATTAATTCATGGTATCCATATCTGTGCTTGTTCATCTTTATTAGGTTTATCAGGGTGGACTCAAATTCACACTGTATGGCACCCATCTGGATCCACATTTAGGAAATATGTTCATTATTAGTTTTATCTAAGACTCGGCCCAGTTGCACAAAGAAGTGTCTTGTGAGCATTCACTGAGTTCACAAACAAGGTGATAGAATACAGAATGTTAGATCAAATTAAGAGGCGGAAAATGAGGGCCAAAGAAACAAAATATATGCTACTTTGATAAGCTAATTCAAACCACATTATGTTGTTCATCCCACAGACTGTGGAAAGCCCTGAAGTCGACCCTCTAAATTTTGGCCACATTCCCACCAAGGTCCCTTCACCAGACACTCCAGGAGCGAAAGTAGCCACCGAAGCGGGCGGACCGAGCCGATGGGAATGTGATGAGACGGAGCCCCAACGAAAGCAAGGGGATCCCGGCCAGAAGCCTGAGGCAAAGGTAGCCAAAGCCAGGCCAGAGGAACGGGAGGGTCCCGGAACGAGTGCTTCCTGACAGGATGCAAATCGGGTCGTACCCCGGATCTTACCTTCGCTGAGGTTCCGACCCGACAGGTTTAGCTGGCCGCTCTTCCTTGCCGCCTTTAACAGGCCCTGGGGTACTGAGGCAGAGCAGTCTCTCCTTTCACTTCTGAAACCTATTCGGGTGTCTTGCTCCGCGCCGCGCCGCAGACGCGACATTTTTAAACGCTCCAGGCCCGCGGCGGATCCCCGCCCGTGACGTCGAAAGGCCGCGCCGCCGTGCGGCCCCGCCCCTGCCGGGGGCGCGCGCAGTGTGTGCTGGGCTCGCGGCCTGGCGCGGGGCTTTCTTTCTCGGAGGCGCGGCTCAGATGTCGTCACTGTCCGTGACTGGAGCTGGAGGACGGAGAAGCCCTTCCCGTTGCCGGTGCTGGCCTTGTGTCTTGGAAGTACTTAGCTCAAGTAAGTGTGTTTAACCGGCCAACGAAGGCCTGGCGGGTGTGGCACATGACGTGTGTGCAGTGTTACTGCGACTCCGTCTTTCTCCTCCGTGCTGTCGCCGGGGCCAGGGTGTCGAGGAAGAATAACCTCTTCCTTCTCCCGGCCCGGACTGAACAGGGGCCTTGACTAAAACTTGAGACCTGGGCGCGGTCTGCAGCCGATCTGGAACCCAGCCCGTGTATGTCGCTGGTCTTGGTGGGGCCAGGCGTTCGCCCGGCATAGAAAATAAAACGGACTTCTGTTCTTCTGGACTAGACTCCGATTCCTCGGATTAGTTTATCTGGCTTGTTGTATTGAGTTTATAGCCCAGCATGGAAGGTGGTGTGAGATGCAAGGGTTGGCAACAGGAAGCGAAGGGAAAAAATGCTTAATGAACGTCCACCGGACGGTTTAGGGAGACGAGTAGAGACGTGAACTTTACTATAGTGAAAATAGCTTGGACTTTGGAGCCCCAGAGATAGCAGTTCGAATCCCAGCTGCTTCGGTATCCTACACACTATGTAACTTTAGGCGACGTACCCCTTTTAAAGCTCACTCCCTTTATTTTTTGTTAATTAATTTAGGGATAAATTGTACCTCATTTGGTTTTTAAAATAAATAAGCGAGTCCTGGCCTGTTTGGCTCAGGTCAGGCGTGTTGGTCGCTCTGCAAAGGGAAAGGTGGCTTGTTGCCTTCCGGGTCAAGGCACAAGCCTAGGTTGTGGTTGGGTCCCGCGTGGGAGGGACGACAATGATGTTTCTCTCGCGAATTGATGTTTCCCCGTCCCCTCTCTTTAAAGATAAATAAAATCTTGAAAAAAAATAAAGTAAGAGAAACTTAAGTTCTAAATCTGGAGCGTTTGGTAAAGAAAGGGATTCCGGTTCAAAATAGGAAATGAAAATTTTAAGTCGGTTTTCCTGGAAAGTTAGTTTCTGTGTGAAATGTACAGCTTTATTGATTCATTAAACAAATAATTAAGAATCACCATCTCTAGTAGTGTCCCGGGTGCTAGGCTTTTCTTTTGCCTGGAGTGATTTTGTTTTAAAGAGCATCTACTGGGAAATAGCCTCCTAAGCCCTCATCAACTCAGCTGGGGATCGGTAGGATATTTGAAAGGTACGATGACAGATTCTGCAACACACACACTTTTGTCTGAGTCCTGGTTCTTGCTACCTGTAAAATTAGATTTTTAACCCCCTCTCGCTTTTTTTTTTTTTCGGTTTTAGTTTTGTACACTAAAAATGAACATCAGAAAAGTACCAGTAGTTATACTAACAAGCAAAAAAAGAGTAGGTTTTAAAGCAAGGACCATGTCTGTTTTTGCAAGGTCACTAATGGGGTCCTCCTCCTCCTCCCAGTTTGCCTTGACAATACTGATTATTGCCCTTCCATAGCCCTTACTGAGTGCCAGGGTCATTGCTAATAACCTCTTTTGTTTTCTCTTATTTAGCACAGTGACCAATTTTGCAGATGAAGAAATTGAGGCTAAAAGGGATTAACAAACTTGCCTGAGGTCACAAGTTTCAATAAATTATGACGATAAATTTGAACGTAGATCTTTCTCCAAAACCTTTCTTATTAATCATGATTTGCCTAGTGGCTTTTATTCCATCACATTCAACTTGCTTTTTATCCTGGATCTATTTGAAGGGACCTAGAATTATGTTTTAAGAGCTTTATTTATTAGAGAAAACCCTGTCTCTCTTTTGTAGGATTTAACAGCTTACCTTTGGAGGATGAATTTGTTAATTTATAGTGCCTCGACTTGTTAAATATTTCATAATAATATTTAATTATAGTAAAGATTTCTCCTAGTCTGTACCCATAATAAATACACTGTGTGTTGTACCCGTGTAGCAAATGCACATGAAGGTGAAAATTATTTCTTCATGCAATTTGGAAAATTACCTGTTTATTTCAAATTGATTGAAACTGAAAGCTTAACTTGAATTGAGCTTCTTTATGAGAGAGTATATTTCTTTTTTTCTTTTTCAATGTGTGGTTGCCTTTCGTGCATCCCCTGCTGGGAACTGGCCTGCAGGGAACCGGCCTGCAGGGAACCGGCCTGCAACCCAGGCATGTGCCTTGACTGGGAATCCAACCGCACTCCTGTGGTTCTCAGGCCCTCGCTCAATCCACTGAGCTACACCAGCCAGGGCGAGAGTATATTTCTATATAATTATATTTGTGGGGATTAGCTTTTTACAGCAATTACATTAGTTTAGGAAGAATGCATTACAAATTTTTAAAAAACTCAACCCTTTTTCAACATGAGCACTTAAGCAAAAGTATTTGCTTATTTTTTAAAAACTGGATTAAAATAATTTGAAATGGATGTTTCCTCAACAGGAAATGGAGACTACTGCATAGCTACTTTTTGGCGACAGAATTTTTCTAGCTACATTTTATTCATTTTATTAAAGTAATGGAAGATTTCACTCGTCTAGCTGCCTTGCTAAATTAAAACTGAAAGTAAAAGACCAGAATACATTGAGCCTAAGAATTACATCAGCCAAAAAAATGCTGTTTTGTTTCATAAGAGAAAATAAGACTATTATCAAAGTAAGTGTAGCTTATCTTCACCATTAAAATTTAATAACATCTTCAAACTGGAATATACAGATCATGTATCACAGAAATCTACACTTGAAACCTATATAATCTTATTAAACAATGTCATCCCAGTAAATTTGATTTAAAAAATTAATGACATTTCAAACATGGCTGTGTTACAAACGTTGTTATATGTTAGATTTTTTGTTTGTTTTGATTAAAGCTAAAAGGCATAATTCATAAGATGGATTTATTGAGACAAACAGGGAAATTCTGTTAAATGAAAATGGCATTAATTTGTGTAACATTTTCCAAGATGTTTGTTTAAAAAACATCAAATAAGCAAAGCGAATTTGCAGATATCTCTGGGGACTTTCTTTTTGTGTAAAGTAACAGATTTAGTTTTAGCTTTGAATTGCTATTTATCTTTCAGAATATTGCCTTATCTGTGAGAACTATTTTATGATAAAGTTGTTTATTGAGGGAACATTTTACTTTTTAATGCTGCCATGGTTGATTATTCATATGTTGCTTGTTAAATGTTTTGAGTTGAAATTTTTATATCCTCGTATACCTATTACTCAAAGTTTTCTTTCTGTTTGTCTCTTACACTATCAATAGGTTTCTTTAAATTATCAAAATTATGTTAGACACTGGCTCTTCATGTTTTAAACACCATGTTTAAAGGTGTTTGTTATATGTCTTTTAAATTCTTTTTAAAAATTCAGTTTGCAATTTCACATTTGCTTTCCATTCAGGTCTATAACTGCCAACATTTAAAAGTAATAAAAAAAAGATTCTATGTTATTTCTTTGAAGGCAGTACATATGTTGCATTTTTAGTCATAGTTTCAAATGTGGCTTTGAATTGTAATTTGTTATTGGAGTTGTTTGTGGCTTTTTTTGATGGAGACAGTGCATTTTATTTTAAATTATTTGTTTGTATATTTTTTGTTCCCAGTTCTTCTCTTTCTTATTTTTCAATTATAAAGTAATGAACTTGCTCTAGGAGATTTTATTTTTAAGATTTTATTCATTTATTTTTAGAAAGGAGGAGGGAGGGAAAAAGAAAGAGAAAAATATCAAGGTGTGGTTGCCTCTTGCCCCCTGCCACCCACCAGAGACCTGACCCCCACCCCAGGCATGTGCCCTGCCTGGGAATCAAACCTGCAACTCTCTGGTTCACAGGCCAGCACTCAATCCATTGAGCCACACTAACCAGTGTAGGAGATTTAGTATTTGATTCAAATGTTGGGTGATATAATTATCTCTACTTTCAGTACTAAAGAATTTTTGTCTACCAGCTTTAGGAAAATATTTTCATTTCCTCTTATAAAAAGACTTTTATGTACTAGTGTTTTTCATGGGAAGAAAGGTGGAACAACTACTTAAATACTAGTTTTCTTTACATTCTAATTACTTTTAGTTTTCTTTTGTGGTTAATTTTCTTTTTATTGAAAAAAGAAGCTGAAATTCGGGTGAACAAAGCACTCCTATTTATGTCATTAAATTAAAACTATTGTGTCATTTATTGGTTTTTCTCCAATCGGCTTAAAATATTTCCCATTATTCCCAAGGATTCTTACTCCTAACCTTTAATGGCTGTTTTCTTCCTCGTTTTTCAAAATTACTATGCTCTGTGACCTAAAGTCTTAATTTGAATATTAATTGTATAGGATTTATGAATTTGTTTGCTTTGAAATGGTAAAGTAATACAGAGAGAAAATTAGGGTTGCCAAACCCTAGGAGGGTGTGCTTCATAGTAGCATTCTTTGTTAAACCACTGCCAAATAAATCTGTTTAAAAATTAGTTTAATTAAAAATGTGACTTTATGTAACCCTCTGCCAACAGCTCTGTTGTATTGGATTAAGCTCGCAACTTCATTTGCTCAGTACTCCGAAGAAAGCACGACATAAATGATTATATTGATACATGGCAAAAACTGTTCTAGATGAGGAAAGCTCCTCAGCAGTTTTAATAAAGACAAAATATGGTCCCAGAGACTTTATTTTTAGTGTCAGCTTATATTGATAAGGGAGGAAAATGAGGATAATTTGGTAGTTTATTGACAATCACAATACGATTTTTAATTTAACAATTTTGATACTCAAATTTCAAATTGGAATATTTATACTCACAATTACAATTAATATAAATGCCAGTTTAACTTTTCTACATCAGTTTTTTTTAATCCTTTAAAATATCACAATTATATAATTAGAAAGACACTGTCATTGGGGTGT